CCCCCCCCCCCCCCCCCCCCCCCCCCCCCCCCCCCCCCCCTTTGTCGATTTCCTGCTTACACCACTGCCCTTGGGAACTCCTTTTCGTGTTGATTTTAATCGACCACGTTGGCACGGCAAGCGTCGCTCTTTAGCGATGGGATTGAAAAATGAAAATATACACAAGTTCAAACCATGCAAAAGGGCGCTTTTTCTCTCTTCAAAAAGTGGCTCGCCTTATTCTCAGTCTACGAGGAATATGCACGATCTCACGATGCGCGTCCCACCGATTCCAAGAACACACTGAAACGAAGCCGCATCGAATAACGCGACAGCAGCTCATTAAGAGTGCAAGAGAGCACCGAAAAAAAAAATCCAAACGTGCGCGTTTCCATGCAACGTCACATTTCACTCGCATCGCGCGGGCTCTCGATGACTCGAAGCGCATCCCTTTTCTTCTCCCCGACGCGAAGGCGCGGAAATCCTGCAGTTCAAGGCCAGCTTCACACAGCTGGAGTCTCAGATTCATTCCGCATCCTCTCGGACCGGTTTTGCCCCTCCATTTCCATGCTGAAGTCAGGGTCGAAGGGAAAAAGCTTACGGTCCCCGTTGATGGGGATCGAGAGAAGGTCGTGGGGGACGAACGCCTCGGGGCGCTAATCGCACGGAAAACCAAAACAAACCCCCGAACCACAAAAACTCACGTTACGTCATGCAAAAAACACCGTTGGGAAAGCGGGCGAAAGCACGAGAAAACGAACTACTCCTTACCGAGCCCGGAAGGCTTTCCCTCCATCCACTCCAGTCGTGTGAGGGAGATCCCGTCTCGTTTCTCGGCCTATCATCCCTGGGCCCGGTCACGTGACCGCAATTACTCGCCGCGATTGGACGGCAGACGACAATGAGCTCTCGGCGAGCCCACGATTCCACGCCAAACCAGTTCCGGACGAGGATGTGTTGTGTCGAGGGCCCCTGCCTCATTTCGGACTGGCACTTTTGACAGTTCGCAATTAGAAGCCCCGCCTAGGGCGATCGAATCCCGGAATCTCGCGACATCGTAGGTTGCCTCGAGTCGCTCACTCGGTTCGGCCGAACGGGTGACGAACGAGCGTTCTCGAGGCTTCAATTGGCAGTCGATTGCGAGCTCGAACGTCAAGGCCGACGCACACTGGTCGAAGAGCTCCCAAGCGAAATCCAACGTGGCTATATACAATTTGAGAGCTCTCCATGGGGGGGGACCTCTTAACGTCCTGTACACAGATCCCGTCATTAGATGGGAGAATTCGCGACTCGAGAAGAAAATATTATCACCGAAGTCGAGGAGTGTTTTTCTCCTATGTCCGTGAGAACGTCTCCTGAGCTATCCGAGACTCTTGAATTGCGACGACTCGTCCGGATCCGTCGCGACCGACTGCGACGAAATGCGACGGTCGCAGTCGGCGTGCATGGGGCCCTCTGCCGTTCGCGACGTCGGTAAGATAGCATCTAGAGTATTGTTTTCAAACTTGGGGGCCTGTAGAGACTTGACGCCGAAGCGGGTTCAGGCTGATAAAACGATAAAGGAGACTCGGAAAATAAAATAGACCATCGACCAATACGGTTGCAAAAAACGGCAAAAGAGGTAAAAAGGAAAAAAAATGAAAAAGTATTCGCCCAGCGACATAGATGCCAGGATGTGTTACATTTACGGTAAACGTTTTTAGGTCTTGATTAAAATGTTAGCAGTTATTTATATGATAAAACAGGGATTGTTCTTTTCATGCTTCGGGAGAAAAGCAAAGGAAAGTGAAGTATAAAGGATGACTCGGGTGCAAGCACTCATTTAAACCCAACGAAACGAACCTTTACCCCGACATTCATTGGCGCAGGAAACTAGGAAACATGGACACAAAGCACCTTTACGTGGTTGTGTGTGTGTGTGTGTGTGTGTGTGTGTGTGTGGGAGGGGGGGGGGGGGGGGGGGAGAAAGTGAAAGTAGGTGAAGGGGATATAAAATATCCTTATATGACCTGAGGCCACCTTTTTAACCCTTTCGCTGCGGATTGAATTTTGGTTTCGGGATTTAAATCAGCCAAATTACGCAGCGACAGGATCAATAAGGACATTTCTCGCTTTATTAACCTTTTCGAGACTCTAATGACGTACGTTGCACGTGAAACCAGTACACGCAAGACTTCGCTTGCTCGACGTACAACGTTCATCGTTAGAGTCTCGAAAGGGTTAACTCGAAAAAAGTTATTTTGCTTTAAATATAGCCGGGGGACCTTTTCCCCTATGACCCGAATGCGAGCCGCGTTTGGGCGCGTCGGGACCATTTATTGCTGGGGTCGACCGGATGAGCTCATCCAGGCGTTTCGACATCATCGATGGGGGGTGGGGGAGGGGGGGGGGGGTTGGGGAATACTTGAGGCGGGATTACTCTTACTCGTTGGGTCGGGAATGTGGGTGAACCCGTTGGTTCCCGGCTGCTCCGTGACTGGCTTTGAGAAGAGGTTGGATCCGTTGCACGAACGGAATCAAAAGAGAAAGAAATACAGTTGTAAGTAAACGGTAAACATATAAATATAATTTAGGTTCCAGGAGCACCTGGGAGTACGTCAGAAACGCGTCGGAGCGCTTTTTTTTTGCACGCGTGAAGCGTTCCTTGGCATTTTCTCATGTTTTATTTAATTTTAATTTAAATTTTTTAAATGGCGCATCAAGACCGTCGGTTGACGATCTAAAATAAAGATTTTTTTGAAGCGTAAACGCCTCTACCGACTCGGAAAGGACAGAAATGTTTTTCCACGCCCCAGCGCAAAGCAACCGGTCCGCACCCCAGAGACATTCTCGTGAAGCGCGTGATACGCGTTTCATCGGATGAAGCACATTGCAAAAAGTCGGACGAAGTACAATATGGTGCTTCCACTCCTGTTCCGTCCAATGTGGATGAAGCTAGAGACCGATCGATATTGGATTTTGCGGTTTTTACCGATTCCGGTATTTTGCCGATATCTCAGCATGAACAAAACCGTATCGAAGATCCGACAGGACGGCTCGATTTTATTTCGAATTCTCCTCGACTGAATTCACGACGGGATCAGGCCGCAAAGCGAGCCGCGTCGGCCACGTCGCGGGGTTTCCTCGAAAGTCCCCGTCAAATTTCGCCGAATCGATCGGACGGGACTCCACTTCTGACATCGGGAAATATCGGGAGGCGTGAACGAGCCGATGCGAATATTCGTCGATATCGGCAACCGATATATCGGTCGATCTCGAGACGAAACACGCTCCACGAATCGTACTCTTCCGGAAATTCCAGGATCGGGACAGGCGTCTTCCCTCGTGAACAACGGCGGCTCGTGATTTTTTGCGCTAGTGGTTCGTCTATGGTAGGCAGCGCCCTCGCCTGCCTACCTCCTCTCCATAGACAAATCACTAGCGCTAAATATCACGAGCCCCCTCTGCTCGTGAATGGCGTCCTTGCGACGAGAAATGAGAAGTCCTTACGGTCCCCGAACACGAATTTAGCCCGGTCCCAGCCTCTCTTGTTCTACCGAGGCGCGGCGGAATGACGGAAGGGGACGATCTCGGTTTTCATTTCCCGTTTCCTGTTCTGCTTCCGGTACTGTTTCCCGTACTTTTTCCTGTACTTTTCGTCGTTCCATCTCAGTCCGGGACCCATTAATCATATCGATTATTCCGGATGGCTGACGGTTTCCCCGAAAGTTCGGGGACGTCTGAATCCTCGTCGAAATTGGGACTTTCGCGGTCCGAAAGTCGTTCGCTGTCGAATGTGACTGCCACGGTTTTTTTTTTCTTTTTTTTTTAGATTCGCCTGACCGTGATTGATTGATCTCTCAGGCTATAAATCATATACAAAAAACGCGTTTCGACATGAGACCGCTCGCGTCCTTGAGCGAGTCCTTGAGCACGCGTCCTTTCGTATTATTCAGCTGCTATTTTAAACATTTCTAAAAAATAAAAAGGCCATTACGTATTATGGACCTCTCAATGTCGCCTCATTCGGCCAACTGCGGAGAAATGGTCTTTTGTAATCCCAAACGTACGCTTTTCGATTCCGTTTGGTCGGCCTGACGGTTCATGTTTCTGCTTCTGTTTCTTGAGTCAAACTCGGGAAAACTCGGGGAAGAGTCAATTTTCCGCTTGAGGTTCACGAACAACGAGAAACTGACGGAAACCACGCCCAGGACGGTGGTTTCCCTGTCATCATCGAAAAAAAAAAAGAGGCGACGAGGACCGATTGCCAGTGGAATCGGTCCACACCGAGTCCNAAAAAAAAAAAAAAAAAAGAGTCGACGAGGACCGATTGCCAGTGGAATCGGTCCACACCGAGTCCTTTTTATCCCAAGGCAAAGGGCAATTCGGGGGAAGAGACGGTTCTCCAGCGAGTCATCGGCCCCGAACGATCCGTTTCTCACCTGTTGCGTGTGATGCCTCGCGATGATCGGCATGGACGCGACTTTCTTCAGGGAATTCTTGAGGCTCTGAAGCCTCTTGTCTCCTCCCGTGCGCGGCATCCTCACTCGCTGCACTCGACACTCGCTGCGACGCGGCCGTCGAAGGAGCACGGCGAGGCGGGCGGGGGACTACTGTCTGGCGACGCGGACGAGAGCGGGGGGAAGAGGGGAGGGGGGGGGGAGGGGACTCTGGAGTCACATGATAGGGGAGGGCGACGGTGGCTGCTGGATTCGGACGGACGGATTTCCTCTCGATGGATCGCTTCAAGGCTCCGAGGCCTACTCTGCCGTTGACAGCCGGCATTGACTTGTAGAAACGACTTCGTGCGACTATCTGATTCTCGTCGGACGAGGAATAAATGCATTTTCCATCGGCAGACAACGGAAGGTGAAGGGGGTCTGCTTGGCCTCGGGCCACTTTCTTTCCCATTTTTTTTCTCGTCCTCCATATTATCCGGTGGCCTTTTAAGCCCGGCGGGCAGAGGTGGAACCGCTGACCCGGGCGTGAGAATTCGACCCGGGATCGTTTGAAGGATGACGTCGGGGCTGTTCGAGCCGATCGCCTTGACCTGGAAGGGGAGCTGTGGTGGTTCTGTGATTTCGTTTCGGGTGCTGGATTGTTGTGGGAGCAGTTTCTTCACCGTTCCAGTTGCAACAGTGTGATGCTGGGGGGGGTTTAATGACGATGTTCCTCCTGCACCTGTGTTAAGTAATATGGCTAATTTTTCGAGAGGAACAAAGGACTGTCTCGAAATGGCTGCATCCAAAGGGGACCTGTGATTGCCGGATGGGGAGACTCTCATCAGTCGTCTGCAAACTACTCGTGAATGCTAGCATTTTATCGCCTTTATGGGAAAACGATTTAAGGACAGCCCTCTTTTCCTCTTAAAAAAAAAAACTAGCTATATTTAATCAGTTGATTCAACTAACTTTGAAAGTCTGTATAGTAAAGAATAAATGAAATTTGATAGAAAGCTGACATTTTAAGTAGACGTAGAAGGAGCATAGCAATTCAAATAATCAAATCACGATGCTGCTCCTAGAAAGATGAAGGAGCTGTGCAGCGGCGATGTGCAGCTTTGTTGTGTTAAGTAAGGGTCGGACCGATCCCTTTCGCTCGATACTACAACCACAGTAAGTGAAAGCTGATCCACAGAGCTCGGAAGAGAGGGATTGGAGCATTCGTCTTTTGGGGTTCTAATAGCCGTATGACAAAACAGTACGGCAGCATATATCTCTGCAATGGGATGGTTCACCTCGTGTGCCTGCTCGAACGGAGTGACCATGGGGCTCCACGTGATTCTATGGCCAGAGGACTATTTGCGTAAGCGGACCGACGCAGCATACATAACTGGAACCACGCACTCGGCAGGCTTCAACCCCCGACTAAGAACGGAAATCGATGAGGCGGACCCTGACCCCGGCTCGCCTACGCGGGTTCGGACGCCTCGGCTTCCCGGGGCGCTGGGGCCAGGGCCGGGTGTCTCCGGAGGGGGAAGGTGGGGGGGGCGGGGACGAAACGAGGGTTCAGGGCGACGCAGGGAAGGAAGAAAAGGTCATGCGCCGGTTGGTCGATCAAACGGCGAGTGTCACAGTGTGTAGGCAGAAGTAGGTTTTCGAAGAACCGAAGTTGTAACGAGGGAGATTGATGGTTGGCGATAGAGTTCAGTAGGATGGATCCCGAAGGATCTCCATTCTCTGCGGGGAAATATCCTCAGTCGATGCCGCATTTTTCCATCTCTCGGAATTTTACGCATGCTGCTCATGTTTGAATTACGTTTCACGAATTCCCAAGTCAGCAGAATTTCTGAGAGAGAAGCGATCGAAGAGTCACGTTCCCACGATGGTTTTTTTTATCTGCAATTGTCAGCCTAGGAAGTTCAGGCCTCACCTTCTCTTCGTCTCTCTCCTTCCCACCACGACAATAAAAAATTATTTTTTTTTAATTAAAACGAGAGACGCTAATCCAGCCACGCGAGAGAATGAAGGTGCGGCATTAAGTGTAGGAGCGTCCTGAAAACTGGAAATGAGAGCGTGCGCGCCAGAACGAGATCCGCAGAAGGATGATCTGCATCTAATTAGAAAAACGTGAGGAAGAGAAAGGGTGGTCTTAGGTCCCCACCTGGAAAAGTGGGGGCACTTGCCCCCACGTTTCCTACGCCTTTGGGTACCGAAGAGGAAGGATACGGATGACTCAGCGATCCTTCGTTCGCTTCCTTCCTTCCCTAACAAGTCCTTTTTCAAATTTGGTTATGTAGGCCATCGTTAAGAATTAACTGTCCTCTGAAACCGATCATTAATTACTCGTTCCCACAACGATCGTTCGCTGGTCGTCGATGATGACGGTGGGAAGATGGCCGAAGCCAGAGAGGATTCGGTGGATTCGACTCGTGAAGTTCGGACGGAACGGCACGGGGATCGACTCGTGTCTTTGTTACATTCGAGATACAGGCCCATGACATTTCATCCTCTCCGTGGTCCCACACGTGACGAGACAATTTACATCTAGGACGCTCTCGTCTTCGCTGCCCTTTCCCATCGCTGGATGCGGGGGACGCTCGAAAGCTTATTATCAATGTGAGGGACTGCGTGTCCCATTCGATGGGGGACTGTCAGTTTTTCTCTCGAGTCCGAATTTTTTCGCTCGATACCCGGGATGGCCAGAGGCTGATTTAAAAACGACAAACAGTTCAGTTGCAGTTCGGTTCTAGTTTCGGTTCAGACTTTGGTCTGACTGAAGTTCCACTGTGATATTGTCGACTTCCATCTCACAGAAATCCCAACTGGAACTAAAATAGGACTGCAGTTTTGGAATCAGCCATAGACAAGCGTGCGAGTGTCTGAAAACGAGTCGTACTCGAGTGGAAATAATTATGCCACAACAGCCTGCCTCTTTTCCGCCACATCGGATGTCATCTATTCGTCTTCGAAAGGGTCCGTATCGGGGAAATTGGGGAAACATGACGTTCACAGAGGAAACATTGACGTGCGAGTGAGGAGAGCTGGTACAACAAGCGGCTTCGACTCGATCCCGGGGGGGTTCGGAGCCCAGGAAAAGCTCATTGATCAGCTGCTGGGAATTTCTGGTCCTACTGAACGTCAGACCTAGTCCCAGAGGCCTCATGCATTCTGGAGCAGGACTACTCGACTTCATGGGGCTCGAGGGCCACATCCTCTGTGACACATTGCACCCAATGTATCAGGACGAAGGTGAACGGGGGAGGGGGGAGGGAACGGGGGAGGAGGGAGGGAACGGGGGGAGGGGTGATAATTCAATGTCGAGTCGCCCTGTTCTGAGGTGTATGACTCTTTCTCGACCTGTGGACACCTTCTGATGTCGTACCCATGAATCCTGCGGGTTTTCAGAGATGGTTTGGATTTTTACCATATTTTTATTAGTCGAATCGGGTGGCTTTTAAATGTTCTTCCGACGAAGTTGCCACGTGCATGGTCGAGCTTACAAAACATTTGCATTTTTAATGACCTACAGGTGTCTGGATAACCGGATTTTGTCCAGAAAATTCCTCCCGGGTTTCTGAACCGATTTTTATTGTCCACACTTCATTCGAAATCTGATTTTTTGTCGACAGTTCGCATCTATTCTCACTGTGCTCACGGTAACGACAGAAAACCGTTAGTCTCCAGATTTTGACTGTAGGTAGGGTCAAATGGTGCCATTCTTAAAATGTGAAATCTCGAGATGGGTTCTCAATTTAGCTACCAACAGACTAAAATGGGGAGAAGAGTGAGGAGACTAAAGGCCGTTTCCCCCTTTTAGAGCCGCTAAAAGGGGGAAAGGGAAATGACCTGGGTCATTCAGGGTCATTCGGCGTAGAGAGGTGAGACGAACGAGGTCGAGTTTGATTCGGGCCCTGAAACTTAAGAAACGATTGTGTTCGGATTTCGATCGAGTTGGCATCGGGTTCAGGTTCCAACATTCGCAAGAAATCAAGTTCGAGTTCGGTTTAGTTCGCTGCAACTTGGTTGGTTTGCAGTCCCAGGAATCCCAGGAAAATGAGAATGGAGCAAATTGCCCCTTTATTTATTTCTCTCCGAACACGCGGAAGCGGCCGGGATCGCCAAATCTTTCCTTTCATATTGCAACCACGGATGACAATTTTTTTTATTTCCAAAAATGGTAAAACGTCTGTTCCTGCGCGCGCAAACACCAAGGAACCGTCGGAAGTCGAGGGCGGTGGGCAGGGAAAGTGAGGACGATGGGCAGGGGAAGTGAGGACGATGCATGCGACGGTTTCGATCGAGGACGTTTCTGTCTCTGCATAGGTCTAAAAATTTTTAAGGTCAAAGGTCAGGGTCGCTCCCCGCAGGTCAAATTAGACATTTGCTTTGAAAAAATTTTGAAAGTTTCACGAAGTTGGGATTCACTCCTCGCCTTTTACCAGGGCGATAACCGTTGAGTCATCTTCAACGCGGAGGAAAAGGCCAAACCAGGGTTAAATCCCGACGATCCATCAGTCGGGGTCAAAGGTCGCTGTCCGTGTAAGGGGCTTTCGAGTCGCGAAATGACGGGCATCATCGAACATTTCGTTGAAACCACAATTTGGCGACTAATTTTTTTTTGGCTTGGAACTTCTCAATTATTTGGAGCGACCATCGCTTTTAGCGCGCAAAAACTAGAGTGTCTCGTATTTGCGACGCCAATCTGAGGGCGTGGTTTTCCTTGCTGAAATGTCGCGAACGTGCGGAAACAGAAAATGTCAGGAAATTTGAGACGTTGCATATTACTGCGTACATTTAATCCCACATCCTTCGTGTTCGTTGCAAAGGTACATGGGCCTGTCCCTGCGTAAATTATTCATCACGTAAAAAACTGGAAATATATATTTTTATTTTTTAATCATCAAAATCAAGGTCTGAAATAAATGCTGAAATCTCGCATAAATAACAGGAAGTCTCACGTCGTTCACGACGCAACGTTCGCACCCGTCTCCACGGGCTATCGCTTCGGTGCGACGGGAAATCGCCGCGCGTGTGCGACATGGATCTATCTGCAAGAACACCATGTCGCACGCATGTGGCATTCGATAGCGTGTATCTAGACGTGTATTTCACCGCAGGAGTCGACTGCTTCGACGATCCATCGTTCCGGGATCTTTCCTGGAATCAGCTTGGATTCACATGAGGCCTTGGCCGAAGAGCATTCGTATGCGACGCGGCACCATAACACTTTCGACGGACTCCCGTCAGTCCTTTCGGTCCTTTTAGGCCTAAGGAAATACGCGAGAAAGGGGGAGCTTGGGCGATCCCCCGGGACTCACCTCGACGGATTCCGCTGTCGACTCCGTCAAGGGCCATAAAGGCACGGTGACGGGCCAGATGCCCTCACTTTCCCGCCCGATTCCCGAGAGAGACGGCGCCAGAAAGGGGCTCTACGCGGGCAGCAACTGCCCTGACATCTGCAGGGAATCTCAGGAGGAGTTTGGTACGAGAGCTCGTTTGCTGGATGACGCTACTGCTGCGTGGCATTGGAGACCGTTCCGACAACTGTTAACGTCAACGAGGAAAAATGTAAGTCTAGTGGGACCGCAAATAGTCATGATTTCTCCAAAGATTTAACGAAACACTGACTAAATTGCAACTTGGGATAAAATCCGGAAGACGCGAAGAATCCCCTTTTTTTTAAATTTCACCTTCGTTAATGATAAATTAATATTTATCGAGTTAGGATTTCTTTCCCGTACGCATCGAGGTGACCGATGACGTCGACGAAGGACACAGCATTCAAATTTGATTCAAATCTGAACTCTGCTGAAAATTTTTGCCGATCATCGTTCGTCCTAGGACCCTTGCCCGATTCCACTCCGGCGATCGCGAACCGACGGCACGCCGATCGAACGGCAGAGCCGATAGGGAACAGGTGTGGGTCCGCTCCTCGACTCGGTTTCGTTCTTGCGGAGATGAATTTCTCAGAGCCTCGCGTTTTGCATTTCGAAGGAGACCATCCCGCGATCGGTATCGAGACCCAGACGAGGGTTTCCGCGGGTTTCCTTCTCCGAAGCGGAATTTCCGCATCGGAGAAGGAAATCCCTCGGCATTCAGCAGGTCGCTCGCTTATGCAAGCTGATCCCCATCGGATTCGACGACGAGAGTCCCTGCATGCATAACACCCTTTCCCCGAGACGCTTGGAAACCGTACAGGCGAGATAAAAGGCACACGAACGCAAGCGACGAGGCGACCGTCGACATCCATTCGGATTCGCGTCCCTCTCCGCCAGACGAGTCTCTTCGCATTGCGCAAGATCTTCTGCTTCAAGAGTTTCTTCGCTTTCAGCATAAGCGTAGCTTGGATGGAAAAGTGGGGAGGGGGGGGGGGGGAAGAGGCACAGGACAAAGGGGGTAGATCTTCTGCTTCAAGAGTTTCTTCGCTTTCAGCATAAGCGTAGCTTGGATGGAAAAGTGGGGAGGGGGGGGGGGGTAAGAGGCACAGGACAAAGTGGGAACTCTGGGATACTGTTATGCATTTCTGGGTCTTTTCCTTCTTTTGGCTTCTTTTCTTGAACCTTGGGGGGCACGTGCCCCCCCCCCCTTCCCTTACCCCCCCGACGCTACGCCGCTGGCTTGGAGCACGACCATCTGCTGGATCAGTCTCCTTTCAATGGGTGACATGCACCAGACTCGTTTAACTTTAAACCGATTCGTTTCCATAATTAGCGTCTATGGGAATAAGTTTAACTGATTCCCATAGGGGACCATCGTGAGATCAGATTAGTTCAGCTTCAAACGGATCCGGTGAATGTCACCCAATGTCTCCTTTCGCTCTGCACGCGAGCTTCACTCGTCCAGCACGGCCTTGAGGTGCCTGACGGACGGTCTCCAATTTTTGCAATGGAAATCCCCAACTTTTTTGAAATTATGCACGTCGACGAACTTTGGTGAATCATCTCATGCGATATTCGCAAAAGTTCAGATGGAGACGGAATACGACGAACAGCTAGAAGGAAATGATTATCGATCAAATACAGTTACAGAATCGAATACAATTATGTTTATCCAATCCGCGATCCAGAGGAGAACTTTCACGTTGTCGCCGTGTTTATGCGAAGAAAGGCTGATATTCTCGAAACTCTGAACCGTGATTGACGATGACGAGTGGAAAAGATCGTTTTGACGTCCAATCCATTTCGAATAAAATTGGGAAAAATGTAAAACCATGCGTCTTTCGCATAGAGATGGGTCTCTCCCCGGGCGGGAAGAGATCGGGTAGCGCATGAAAAGCACTGGGACTTATTTCAGAGGTGTCGAGGTTGATGCACACTGCATCAATTATTGTTAACTCGCTTCATTTGTGGAAGCCTTGTTTGTTCGAATGGCTGAACTTGGCCATAGTTGAGACAAATGTTGGCAGCCAGTGCTACGTTGGGGACGTGGCGCTCTTCTCGGGATCCGCCATTGTTTTGCCTCTACCATCTTGGACGACATTCTCGATAGATTTATGGAGAATGAAACGTTTTCTTTAAAGGTTATTGCAAAGTAGCATGAAACATTGCCAAATAATTGAGCAAATTCGCGAGCCATTTCCCTTTGGATTGAATGCTTCTGTCTGTGATCCTCGTAAGCAGTGGCGTAGCCAGGTTTTCGTCAATGGGGGGGCTAAGCGGAACGTTGAGGGGGCTAATGGGGGGGCTAAGAGGAGCGTTGGGGGGGCTAACTTCTCGTCAGGGTGGGGCGGGCGCATTCCGACCAGAGTTGGGGGGGCTTGAACCAAACTTGGAGAGGCTGAAGCCCCCCCCCCCCCCCCCCCCCCCCCCCCCCCCTTAGTTTACTTTTTTATTTTTTAATCGGTCTTCTGACAGTGCCTCACTGCATGCGTATCCTTTATTCCAGCCCCCCCTCGCTACGCCACTGCTCGTAAGAGTAATGAAATAGAATACATTTCGTATTAGGCTGAACAGGAGCAGTTGGAAGCGAAATTGACATGCATTTTTGGTGCGTTATTCATTGGAACCAGGGAGTGTCCCACAATATCCACAGTACCGGGAAGAGGTACAAAGGCGCCAGGAACCAGGTCGCCCTTCAATTAACCTGCTCTCGGTTGAACAGTAAGGAGAGTGATCTGTCCGCAAGGCCTTCCCATCATCCTAGTTGGTCTCCATATTACTCCTATTGCATTCATATTTATTCGTGATGATGGATGTCAAATTAAGGACAGGACCCTATTTGACTTGGCGATGTCGTCCACAAGCCTCAAAGGTAGAACTACGTCCGCTTCACTTTTGCGGGTTGTGAAACTCCTATAGTTGCACTGAGCCTGAAGGCATGAATGATACGTACCGTATACGTGCACAGGGCTGTCTCTTTTAAGAGACCCAAAGAACACTGAACGACCCAATCTCGCTTTTTACCTCATGGCCTTTTCCGGGATTCTGACTTCTTCCCTCACATACGTCGCATAACGGGGTCAGTTATTGCTTGCATGGCTGGCCTGGAATAAAGGATACGCATGCAGTGAGGCACTGTCAGAAGACCGATTAAAAAATAAAAAAGTAAACTAAATGAGATATTTAAAGGCAACGCTTGGTTCAGGACTCGTTCCATGCTCCCCTCGCATACGAGCACATGTGGCCCCGCCCCTTGGTCACACTTGCGTCGTCTGCTTCGTTTCCATGACAGCGCCACAGTTACGTTGCATGAGTGATTCGGTATGGTTGTGGATTGACTGCTAAGGCAGGGCGTAGGCTATGATGGGTCAACTTGGGTTCTAGATATTCTGATAAGATCGTCAAGGTTTAGTGATTTGGCCGCTAAATCTTGACTTAAAGCTAGGCCTTATGTAGGTCTGTCATACCCTCAGCAGCCCTAGACCTGGCTTTGATTATAGAGGCTATCTGGGCTATAGTTGAGGCTTCCATGTCAGTTTGACGATAGCAAACATTGCTCTTGAATTGAAAAGTTGCAAGTCCAAGTTTGCTTAGGAGGGCCTTGGCTCTTTGCTTATATCAAAACTAAACTGAAACCTAAATCTGGATTGAATCGAAGTTATTTACTTTTATATGCTTCTGACCCAGTCTAAATGCTGTCTAAAATGTTTAGATAAATGGAAAGGATGCACAAGTAATATAACAAATTTGCTGAAGTATGTGATGTGGGACTTAGTGGTGTTACAGTTGCATGAGAGATGATCTTATCTAGTTGACTTTCATGCAACTGTTTTTTTTGTCCTTTGAGTTTTTGGTCACATATCCCAACAAATATTTCATACTGAGTATTTTCCTCCTTCATCTGAGCATATTGTATAGCATTAAGATTGGGTCAGAACATTCAATTACCCCTTTTATGTGAAATTTTAGACAAAGTTTGTGATGGAGTGAGAGCAGACTTTTCCTCTTAGTCTGTTTTTTGAATTTATTTATCAGGTTTAGATTTACCTTTTAGATGTAGCATAGGCAAGGAACTGGTTCCTAGACATCTCCTCTTCATCATGTCTATGCCTAGCCTATGCATTGGTTCCAAATGTGCTTTTTCCCTGGATAACAAATTCCTTCTGAAAATTGTCATGTCTCATAAGTTATGATTAGTGCAGTTACAACAGGGAAAACATGGCCATGATTGGCCAATGTTTATATTTAGCTTTTGTTATTTCCCCACTGCCTTGATGCATCAGGGCATTTCAGGTTTACCTCCACTCTCAATTGACTGAGTTGTATCAGCATCATGATGGCAGAGGTAATCCATCTAGGCCCACCTGGGGATGATGATGGAGACTTGTACTCTGGCTTTGAAAATCCCATCACCTTTAATCCTGAAGATCTTGCCATGGATGAAGGTTTTCAGCAAGCTGTCAAGACAAGCTATGGAAGAAGGCCACCTGTATGTTCTTCTAGAATTTCAACACAGCACTGAAAGTGATTGTGACCTGCTGATGTTCCTGATTTTTCTACAGACAGCTGCAAGAATGGGGACTGCAGCTCGGATGGGTACATCAGCTGGAGTATGAATCTTCATGAATTTTTAAGTTTAAAAAAGTTATTTCTGTTTGGCATATGAATCTGGTCAATCACTTCAGATAGATCAAAAGTTTATGCCTACTATTGGTGAAATATGATTGAATTTTGACATAACTGTTTTCACTTACAAAAGTTTTTTTTTTCTGTCCAAAATCAGTTTCGAGGAACCACTGCAATGCCAAGTTCCCTGGGTAGAATTGGTACAGCTATAGGAGATGGAACTGCACCTCGTCCAATGACAGCAATGAGAGGGGCTGGATACACATCACATGGAAGTAGAGGTCCATTTGACCCTATGAATCAAGGAACTAGAAACAGCCCTGCACAACTGGAAGCAAAGCTTGAAGAAGGGTTTGTTCCCACTGGGTCTCTGCCACCATGCTAAAAGAAAATATTATAATTGGACACTGGTAATTATGGCAAGATAAGAAAAGGCTTGTAGAAAAGAGGTATGACACTATTTTTGGTAATTTTTGCATTGAGAATGCAAATTAAAATATTGTTTCTCATTCTCTAGTTGTGAGAGTGGACCCTGAAGACTTGATTATGACATAAATCAAGTTTTGTGACCAAAGGTGCATAGAATTTCCAGCATGATAGCAGGCACCAGTGCAATGTTCATTCTCTGTTGGAAGTATGCAGATCAAGTTTTTTTTTATGGTTTTACTCATTACTGTTAGCAAAGCCTAATATACTCATCCCCTTTATGAACTTAAGCTTCATTTTGTCAGTAATAAAGAAGCATGTTTTTAGATTTGACACTTGCAAACTATTCAACCCATGTGTTGATAATTAAAACCTCAATGTTGAAGCCTAACTATTGAATGTTTGTTCAGCAACTTGCACACTCAAGAGAGACTGTCTTGCAAAGTCCTCTTATTGCCTAATCCTTTTTATGTCTTCTAATCCTTTGTTGTTGTTACCCATTATTAGACCCGAAGAGAAGGTACGAAAGCTAGAGCAGCAAATAGGACATCTTGTGGAGGAATCTTGCATGGCTGCTGTAGCAGGTGACCGAAAAAAGGCACTTGAAAAGGCCAAGGAAGCTTCTACCAAGGAAAGATCTGTCATACGACAGAGGGAACAAGCAGGACTGGCTGATTCTCATAACCTGGATCTTACTTTCTCTGTGAGAATCAGAAACTATTCAAAACTTTTGCATCATTCTTCTCTGTGTATTTTCTAAATAACATTTTTTTCTCTTCAGGTGCTGTTAAATTTGGCTTGCCAGTATGAATTCAATGAGATGTATTCTGAAGCCCTGAACACCTATGATGTTCTGACCAAGAACAAGATGTTCCAGAATGCTGGACGTCTGAAAGCCAACATGGCCAACATCTATCTCAAGATGGGACAGTACAACAAAGCCTTGAAATTCTATCGCATGGCCCTCGACCAGGTTCCCAATACCAACAAGACAATACGGTGACTCCCTGCAGTATTTCAAAGACTCCCTCATGAATGTCTTGCCCACAAACTTTTAGTGATAAAGCCAATGGTCGTTGCATATGTATTTGCAGGATCAACATCATGCGAAATATTGGATTGCTATTTGTGCGGATGGGACAATACAATGATGCTTGTAGCAGCTTTGAGTTCATAATGTCTGAAAAACCAGACTTCAAAACTGGTAAGAGTGTTGAAGCATGGAAGGGAGCAAGATTTTGCAGTTCTACTCATGCCAGTGTCTTTGCTTAGGTTTGGATCTGGTGGTGTGCTATTTTGCATTAAGTGATAAGGAGAAGATGAAGGCAGGACTACAGAGACTTCTAAGTATTCCTTTTGAAGAGGAGGATGAGGACAAGTACACTGCAACCTCTGTTGGTATCATTTTTTAGGTTATTTTTAAAATCATATCCAACATAACCATTCCTTCAATCTGGGCTTACTTTTCATGCTAGGATGATCCACAGTCGAACCTGATTTTGGAGGCAATCAAGAACGACAGCTTGAGAAAAATAGAGCGTCAGAGACGACAGGAAATTGAAAGATGCATCCTCACTGCTGCCAAACTCATCTCACCTGTCATTGAGGACACCTATTCTGAAGGATATAATTGGTTTGCTGAAAAGTTTATTTTTATGACACTTATCTTATCCAATGGGGAAAACTTCTATGTTTTTCTCATGCAGGTGTGTTGAAACAATCAAGAGTTCAAGCCACAGTGAGCTTGCAAATGATCTGGAGATCAACAAAGCTGTCATGTCCTTGAAACAACGAGAATTCCAGGAAGCGGTCGACACTCTCAAAGTCTTTGAGAAGAAGGAGAGTCGAGTTGCAAGCTCAGCTGCAACAAATCTGTCATTTCTATACCAACTGGTGAGGAATGACAACTTGATCCGAATGTTACAATCATAGAAATCCTATTTGAGTGCTCATGAGCTTGAGTGCTAGCTCATTTTTCCTCTGCAGCAAAACAACCTTGAGGAAGCAGAGAAGTATGCAACTTCAGCTCACAAGGCAGATGGTTACAATCCCTATGCACTTGTGAATTTGGGGAATGTGTTCTATCTTCGAGGTGACATTGAGAAGGCCAGAGAACGATACTTGGAAGCTCTGGACTGTGATGCTTCTTGTGTAGAAGCTCTCTATAACCTTGGTACTACAGTTCCCTGGGTTACTTTATGCATCAGAGATGGAGGGCCAATGATTTTCCAGAATATCATGTTCTCTTCATTTTAAAGGGTTGGCCAATAAGAGACTGGGTCGACTGGAGGAGGCATTGGATGCATTTTATAAACTTCAGGGAACTATGAGGAATGATGCTCAAGTGCTGTACCAGATTGCTACTGTTTATGAGGCCATGGGATCCTTGGATCAAGCCCTAGAATGGTATGCCATGGTGCTATCCAGTTTGGGTTTTTTACCTGGACCTACCCTTTTTTTAAGAAAAATATATATTAGTGAGTTTCCTTGCTTGATTGTGGTAGTTGATACATTAGGAAAACATATTTCTCTGTATGGAAGAATTATGAATGAAGATCGTTGACCATGCATCCAAACAAATTGGTGATGGGGGAAGGGGAAAGTTTTATAGAACTTACAATGTCAGGTGCTCCCCTGAATTTAAGTATCATATTATCTCTGAGGCTTTGGAAAGGAACAGATAATTCAAGAATTGCAAGAGCCAGATATTTTCCTAGTGACTGTCATGACTTGAACATACTGATTTGATGATGGGGATAAACCTTACTATGGTGCCCCCAATGCCACCTGTGTTCTCTAGAAAAGTCTTGAAAAGCCAGACAGAGGGGAGAATCTGATGCAGTAGAGAATGTGATCATGTTGTGTATCCATGATATGAACTGTTGGGATTAGACTGTGGCCAATTTGTCTACAGTTGGTGTTACTGCAAGTGGCTGTCACTTCTGAACTATCATTTCTGCTGATGGCAGCCTGTCTTACCTGCAGTCCTACCTGTTTCTGGGTGGAAAGGAGGGTGGGCAGGAAATACTCAATCCTGAACTTTTAGTATAACATTTGTTCATCTTGAATTTTGAGAATGAAGATTAGGTAATGAGTAACCTGTCTGCCTTTGGAGTTTTGGCCAAGCATTGTGATAATTCATTCTATGTGTGGGAGGTATGAGTACTGTACCTTAAACCCAATAAGTTTGATTTGCCTCTCTGCATGACAATTTGTGCTGTTAGGTTTACTTTATATTGTGTTTCATGGGTTAAAAGTCACTCATGAGTCATGAGCTAAGGCAAACCTTAGTTGTTCCTTAGGCCTACTACAGGCCTGCATATGGGCAGACATTCCTAAGGGACTGTTATGTGGGTTTTGGTGCCAACAGGCAAAACCCCCTTCCTCTTTGTGAACCATTCTTGAGATTGATAAATTTCAGCTGTGTTGGATATGCTGTCCCCTTTTAGCAAAAGGAAAGATTGTGCATGACCCAAGCCAGCTAGTAGTCTGATTAGGAGTAGGTTTTTTTACGCTTCTTGTGATCCTACTCTTCCTAATGCTTTGAAGTAGTGTTTTTCCTTAAAGGGATGCATAAAGGTACCAGTACCTAATGACATTTGAGGTGACAGTAAATGTAAAAATTTTAATAAATATGTGAAGTGATCCAGCAAAGCTTGTAATTCTTCTGAATCATTTCTCAATGTTCTCCAATTTTTATTTTTGGCTCCTAGCAATTTTAAATTTAAAGACATGAGAGTCTTTATTTTGATATTTTGATATAATAAAGGACAACTGTCAATGTCAAAACAGGTAATAGAAAAGCTAGCCTGCATGGTTTCACAGATAAATATGGGAATGGGATCACAAACTACATAAAACTTAGACTAGATTTGAGGAGAGAGGAGTAGAAAGGAGGGAAGGCAGAGAAAGGAAGGGAGGGGAGGGAAAACTCACAGCCTTCTCTTTTTCAAGGAATTTTCATCAAATAATGAAGCACATGATGGAATGCATTCATGAATTCTAAAATGCTTGTATCCATAGTTATAAATGACAAAAATGAGTCATAATTGATTTGCAGGTATCTCCAGGTGCTGAGCATTGAGCCTTCAGATCCTCAACTCCTCCAGAAGCTGGGGATTCTTAGTGAAATACAATCTGACCGACAGCAGGCTTTTCAGTACCATTTTGATGTGAGAGATGATTTGCTGAGATCAATTACAGGATATGCACCAAGTAGAGGTTGACCAGGATCTGACTCTGTTATAGTCGTACCGGTACTTCCCCTCGAATCTCATTGTCCTGGACTGGTTGGGGACATACTACTTGGAACACCAGGTTGCTGAGCAAGCAGTGAAGTTCTTTGAAAGGGCAACCCTGATGCAGCCTGGGGAAGTAAAGTGGCATCTGATGGTGGCAGCATGCCATCGACGTAGTGGGAATCTCCAAGCAGCTCTCAGCACATACAAGAACATTCACATCCGGTTCCCTGAGAACATTGAATGTATGATACATTATTGACCTGTTTCAGGTGTATTCAAGTAATTTAGCCTGGTAGGCCGCTGCAGTGGATGTTAGGAGCTTGGGAGGCCATTGTGTTATTCCTGATCTCTCTGACCTCATTAGTAGTTACTTGAATGGATATATGATGGTGTGTAAGCATAGATTTCATGCCTTGAAGAAGGGTAAAGGTTCCTATTGCAGCTGCAATTTTCAGCCCAAAAATTGTGAACTCTATGAACTTTGAAATGTAGATGTGAGCTTTAAGTTGTCATTGTTTTTCTTTTACTTTTTGGATTGAGGGTCCAATGGGGATAGGTACACATAGCCATTGGAGGCCTGGATATTTTTCTCTTTTTTTTTTTTAGCACAACTTTTGGGATATTACAATTTATTGTGCATGAGAACTGGGTTTTTGTCCATGGGGTTATTGCTATGGCACACTCTTGCTAAAGAACTGAGTACATCAGCTGTGCCCTTGTGTTAACTCATCCAATGATTGGCTCAGTTCACATCCTATGCAGCTAAAAATTCTGTTGTCATTTGACACATATCCTTTCAAGCAAACTGCATGAAGATCTGGAGAAAGGAAGGAGCTGATTTCACTCAGATGTCAGCTTTTTTTCTCTAGATGGATTTGATCTTTGAGACTGAGCAGGCCCTTGGTTCAGAGTTGTCTTGCAGGCTGCCAATCAGAGACTCTTGTTCCTTTATTGTTATACTGAGGAAAGGCATTTTCATGGTGTCATTCATTGTTTCTTGCAGGTTTGAAGTACTTGGTGAGGTTGTGCAGTGACTTGGGTCTCAAAGAAGCACAGGAATATACTATTGAATTGAAGAAGGCAGAGAAAGCAAAAGAAGTACGGGAACAACGAGCACACAGCAGTCGGCCAGGTTTGATCTATATTCTGTTAATGGAATGGAGTCAGAAGTTTGGATTCCAATGCCATTAATGTGCTCATGAACAGGATCAAGATTCGGCAGTGGTAGGGTCACTCGAATGGGATCGGCTGTGAGTGCCGAATTTGAGACCAGAGCATCATCAGGTGTTGCCAGAGCAAGATCAGCTGCATCTGCCCGAACCACTCGATCGTCTTCAGCCATTAGTTCTGGGAGACAGACGAAAATCTCCCTAGAAGAACTGGAGGCTTCTGATCAGTACCCATCATCACAGAAACAGATAGGTACCTGCACTGTTGACTCAAGCCCAAGCAAAGTGTGATCAGCATTATTTCAAATACATGATTTTTTGTAGATGCATCATACATTGATCCCCTGGGGCCTGCAGCAGAGCGGCCCAAGACAGGTAGCCGGAAGTTGGATCCAGATGATGAATTTGCAGATGAAGAACTTGGAGATGATCTCCTTCCTGAATGAAACTGTGGTCTTGAACTTTCTTCTTCCCCTCTCTATCGTGCATTCCTGTCTAGTCATCTGTGTGATAATTGATAGGTGGGACTACATTGATTTTTTTTTTGTCAGCAAAGATTACTTAAATATTTATCACTATAGTATTTTGCAGCACAATAAATGGAATTGATTATAGAGACCATGGGAGTTTGCTTTTATTTCACACTCTCAAGCCCTTTATTTTTTTGGCAGGGGTTCAGCCAAACTTTATGGGAACAACTAAATTGGGAGTCATGCAGATTCATTTCCCTTATTGTTTCTAGGTCAAAAGCATAATTTTGCCAGTATTCTCCCCTTTGCCCACCCAGTTCGTCTGAGATATTTATGTCCAACTTAAGGAGAAGTTCACTTTTCTCGCTTCTAGACAGTAGCATAGGGAAAAGGGGATTTAGTCCCCCCAGTGGGAGAAGTTAGAGAAATTCTAGTACCCCATTGGTTTGCTCTAGCCCTCCTTTGGCGAAATCATCTCTTTGAGAGACTGGCCACACCTATGCTAAAGTTCATGGTAGCTCAAGTTAACCTTGCACTTCTATTATACATGAAAAGCTCAAATAAAAAGAGTTCCATGAAATTCTTTCTGAATGACTAGAAGGACTTGATCTAGAATGAATAAAACTGATTTCAGGCAACATTCATCGATCAGATGAGTTTCTATTGTGAAAAGGGCTTCCATGAGACCAGGGCCAGGATGAGCTCAGGCATAAGCATAACGAGGATGGAAAAAGGGGGGGGGGGTGTGGACACGAGAACTCTGAGATACAGTTATCATGCATTTCTGGATCTTTTCCTTATTTTATTGAAAAGTAGAAGGGTACGTGTCCCCCCGACGCTACGCCGCTGAGCTCAGATAATGTGCATTCACGAACGATCAAACGTAGATTGTGGAGGAAAGGTACCGGATAGGTAAACCATTCCTGTCCCATCGACGGAAAGGAGCAAGACCAAGGGAGGTGAAGGTTGTCTGGACCAAGCAAACATATCAATAGTAGCATTGTGGGAACGTTCCCCTAGAGTCAATACAATGTCATCGACGTTGAAGGTCAAAGTCCAACGTTGCATGAATATGATAGCAGTGTTATGGCTAGGGAGCGGATTTTTATGCAAATGCATATTTTTCCTGCAGCCTCCTATGAGCACGCAACCCAGATAGGATCATGTCTCATTGGTAGAGGACGCCATTTATGCCATTTTAAAAACGCTTAAAAATGCATATTTTCACGTTTTTCTCAGCAAGTGCATATTTCTGTATATATGAGCGTATTTACGCATATTTTGCCCATTTTTATGGGAAAAATAAGGGCTTTCCAGGAAAATGTGCTTTCTTTATGAGGTACTGATGAAAATTGTCATGCAGTTATGAAGTCCGACCAGCAGCGTAGCGAAGGGGGAAGGAATGGGGGTGAGGTGGTGAAGCTCCCTAACTGCTCTAAATTCATCCGTCACCTCCACCCCTCCCCAGAAGTTTAGGAAATTCTAGTTCCTGTTCGTTTCCCTTAGCCCTCCTGACAAGGATGGACCAACTATACCCAGTAGAGTCATGCAACGTACATTGAAGTTCCTTCTCCCGAAAAATTCGTACAGCATAAAAAAAAAATCATGTTTTTTCATATTTCCCATATTCGTGCATATCTCATGCATATGTTGGCATTTTTAAGCGCATATGTAAGTGCATATTTTAGGATTTATTAGCGCATAAAAATCCGCTCCCTAGTTATGGTACTGTGATACTTTCTTAAATCGCAGTTTTGAATAATATTTATGGTAGTATCATGGAGCATGCATCACCAAATAGAGATAAAAATCCCTTTCAAGAAACGACCAAGAACCTATCCAGTGTTACCACCCCAGTAACACCAGATATTGACTCAATGCTGGACCAACATTGGGCACAATGCCTGTACATCTTGCCATTTATTGCCAATACCGGCTAAATATTGGCTTCCCAATATTACCATTCCATCATCGATCCAATATCAGACTGACGAGATGATCCAATGTGCCCAAGTTGCACGGAGGTTTTTTTTTGGAAAGGCTGAAGTTCTCCTCTTGGCCAATAGATAGAGGCATGAGTCTCGCTTTTTGCACAGTACACAAAAGTGCACTTCCCTCTTTCCATGGAATCAATCCTCACAGGATTGTTTAGTACCTCACCATATGTTTTTCCTAGTCTCATTATAGCACTCAATAAAATCGGACATTTAATCATTTATTATCCCCATATTCGAGACAGAACCATGGAGCCCAGGCGATGAACAAGCTTATCAGCATAGGGGGTATGAGAGCTTTTTGCAAAAACTCTTAGCTAACTCTTAGTTTTCTCTTTCGCACGCGGACACCTGATAAGGCCCTTCCGGCCAGCTGGATCCGCAAACGCCTTTTGATCTTCGGGGCATCAACTTTAACCCTTCCGATAGGATGTAAATATAATATCGACTTAAATAAAATCACACTTCACTGACTCGTGAAGTAAAACGGCTAGGACCCTATAGATCTCACTCCTCTTCGATTCAGGTGAACCTAAGCGTTAAGTGCCCCAAAACACTGATACTAACCTAAATAAATTTAGGTTGCTTTCTCAATAAGGCCGCATAGTTCCTTACTCTTTAATTAAATTCCTAAAGATAAAAAACCTCAAGGGAGAGATCCTGGGGGCGGGGAAGCAGCTCTCTCTCGGGCTGACTTTTCCCCCATAGCCATGAGTCACATTCTCAGGGCTAAGTCATTATCCAGCAAACATACTAACATTCAATCAGCGTTGTATGAACGTTAATTTTGAACCTTCCCAGTGTTTGGTTGGCGTTGCAGCTAACATTAAGTCACTATTGCAATGTCGCTTATTGGAACACTCTAAACTACCCAGAAAACATACTAACATTCAATCAGCGTTGTATGAACGTTAATTTTAAACCTTCCCAGTGTTTGGTTGGCGTTGCAGCTAACATTAAGTCACTATTGCAATGTCGCTTATTGGAACACTCAGATGAACGTTGAAGTTCAACACTGGCTGAACGTTGAGCCAACACTGCAATGTCACTTATTTGAACCCTCACTCCCACCATTCCATAATTGGTCAATAATGAAGGCAATGGATTAAATATTATTCTGAAAGTACTAATTTTAGTACTTTACAGGGAACAGCTATCCCCTTTCTGCTCTGTGGAGTACAGAAATCCTCCTTTCCTTCGTTGAGAGTGGAAAAATAACTCTCCCTCCCAAATTCAAAGAATAGAGCCAATATATATGACCGAGTTTGTAGAAAATCTTTCTGAGGAAACTGTGCACTGGGATGCAAGGGTTTCTCATACGGAGTATGAGCTTATTTACTGCCTGGGCTCTATGTTTCTGTCTCGAATATATGGATAATAAATTAATAATTGTCCGATTTTATTGATTTTTATAACGAGGCAATGAAAAACATATGGTGAGGTAATAAACACTCCTGTGAGGGATGATTCCATGGAAAGAGGGAAGTGTACTTTTGTGTACTGTGCGAAAAGCGAGACCCATACCTCCATCTAGTGGGCAAGAGGAGAACTTCAGCCTTTCCTCAAATTTAACTCCTCCGTGGAAATTGGGCTCATTGGATCATCGCGTCAGTCTAATATTGCATCGATGATGGAATGGCAAAATTGGAAAGTCAATATCGAGCCAATATTTAGCCGGTATTAGCAATAATGGCAAGATGCATGTGGACATCGTACCCAATATTGGTCCAGCATTCACCCAATATCTGCCCAAGCAGCATGTTCACGTAAACAAGATATCAATTTTTTGCAAACAATGTAAATTTCTTGCGATTGCCATGAAAATGACATCACGTTTACGAAAAATTTACGTTCCTATATTTACGTCACCAAAGTGTACGTGTATTTTACATCAACTATACGTCACTCCATCTGACGTGAAGTACATGATAACAAGTTTACGAAAAATGAACACCACACCATCCATATGAAACTTCAGCTGACCATCCTGCAGTTGCAGTACCAAGATTCCTCACTAGATGGAACCCTTGTTCCCTGCATCCTACAATTACTATTAAGTACTGGTTTTCCTGATATAGTATCAGGTTTTCTTACCATCCTTCTACTTTTTATTATGCAATCCATGAATATATATATGGAAAACATGAAATTATTATATATTTTTTATAATATATGACTCAGGGAATCATTAAATGCTGAAGTTAAACTTTTATTACAGCAGTGCACTGGATTAGGGAAGAGTAGAATCCCAGCCCTGTAAGTACTACATGTTCTCTATCCTTAAAGGAGAAGAGCTCCTTTAAACATCTACTTCTCCATCCGAGGTTCCGGTATGGGAGGAGGAAGCAGTAGGTCATTTTGGTACTTTTGAATGCTGGTGAGGATGAGTACTCGTGTACTCGTCCAACCACCCTAGAGTTCTGAAGAACGTAAAGGAATAGGAGATTCAGTATTTCAATTCTCTTCAATGGTACTGATTGACTCTTTAAATACGCATGAATGCCAGGGGGAAATTAACATAAATCTTACGTAAAATGAATGTAAACATGCTCTTTGGAATGCAAACGGGAAGGTCAATTTTACGTAAAATTTACGTTAATTTTATATCACCGTTTACGTATCACAGAGGTGACATTTCTGCAAACATGTTGACATTTTCTTGACAATGGTTTGCGTGAAAATGATATAAAATGGACAAAAAATTTACATTCATTTTACGTAAAATTAACATAAACGTGCTGTTTGGGTGGTATTACTGGGGTAGTAACACTGGATAGGTTCTTTGTCGTTTTGCGGAAATTTTTTTTTTCCCTATTTGGCGATGCATATTCCATGAAACTACCATAAATATTATTTAAAAATGCGATTCAAAAAGGTATCATAATGCCATAACACTGCAACAATATTCACGCAACGTTGGTCTTTGACCTTCAACGTCGATGACACTGTATTGATCCTGGGGGAACGTTCCCACAACGTTACTATGTTTGCTGGGTAGCTTCATGAGGGTCTTGCTCTCTGCCAGCCATCATGTTGGGAGGATCTCACCATGGTGGGCGAGAGTCATGTGTCGGTCCACCACATGACAGCGGGGCCCACCATACTCCAAATTAAATTTTTTTTTTTACTCGGAGGTGTAAATATCATTCTTCCTCCAGGGTGGAAGAGGAGGTTTGTAGAAATTTGTACGGCAGAATAGGAAGGACCATCATGAGGAAGGTACCATGATTGGTACTTTCATAAGATATATATATTCCTTTGCCGTCAATGTTGACCCAATAATGCGGTGCTGCTAAAGGTGGGATTGAGCATTCCAATAAGTGACGTTGCAATGTTGACCCAACGTTCAGTCAGTGTTGAATTTCAGCGTTCATCTGAGTATTCCGATAAGTGACATTGAAATATTGACTTAATGTTAGATGCAACGCAACTACAAGGTTAAAATTTAACGTTCGTGCAACGCTGATTGTTCGTTTGTTTCCTGGGGAGTCATGTTTCAGAGTGGAAGACCTATACATCTGGTTCCTGTTTCTTCTCCTGTATGGACCTCCTCAAGTTGCCCTTCCAGAAGAACTTCTGCTGGAATTATTTTGCCCGGTTTATTGCCTCTATCCTTTAATTTAGAGATAGCGCTATGGGAGTGGGAAATTGATGTTTCTAATGCATGTGGCTAAGAAAGGAAACCTCAATAAATTACTTACTCACTGTTTCATGTCCGGATTGGAAATGTGAGCATGAGTAATTCAACGCCGGATCCTTCAGCCTTTCCGATTGTTTTTCATATGATGGAGAAAGGTGAGCTGAAATGTATGTTTTTTTTCTCTTTTTTTTTCTAGATCAAGTGTGATCAGTGGGACGGGATCACAGATGTCTTCCCGGATATCCGTCTTATAACAAGAAGGGAGACGTGATGAAAAAATAAATAAATAAATAGATAATTCAAGTGAATTTCCTTTTGATTTCCTGTTGATTAAATGCATTTATTTTCATTTCATCAGGATAAATAAAGGTATTGGAGTTAGTCCCCCTCATCGATACTCAGGAGGAGATTTGAACATCCCTGGCGATGACAGGTCAGCGACATGGCTGCGGTGTTGCTTGCATTCGATCAGGCTTGGCCGCCGATAAAATTCGTAAGAAACGCATAATCAAAGTCGAGGTAGGCTTGCAGTTTTTCGAGAAGTCAAACCCACCTGAAGACGCTGTAGCTATTATGACCAATGGCTTGATCTATTGTACAGTAGTTTCAGGAATTTTAGTGTTATTCAGTTGTGTTCGCAATTTCGTCTTTTCGAGTCCAGTAAGTTTTCTTTTGACACGAAGTTATTATAGGCTAGACCTATGCAGGTGATGATAGGTTAGGGCAACCACAGATTAACAAGGCCTCTTTCTAGCAACTGTAGTCATAACGTTGGCCTGTAATAGGTAGACCTTCAACGCTTAATTGTATATACGGTAATGGTTTAATCTCTTGGGTGGGGTTGGTGTAATGTTATCCTTTAGGCCTAAGTCTCCTAAACAGGACGTAGCCCTACCCGCGGTTTGATTCATAGTCACTGACTATTGTCGGATTGACGCTTGACCTGCAGTGGTTTGCAGAACTATCTCCTCACATTTGTAATGCTAAATGCATCTTGGGGTGTGCTAGAAGTGGCCAAGCATGAATGAGGTTAGGCATATATGAACATTGTGAATGTGACGGTGATTATGTTTTATAGTCCCATGTGCCATGTGCTTTTAAAATTTATTATGAAGGTGACAATCTGGTGATCTGGGTATATATTTTTTTATCATGGCAGTGTATCTCTTCATGAAGTTTTATAGAAGAGAATGTTTAATTTTCATTAGAAGCTTATAGGGTCAAGGGAAACATGCAGACACTTCATGTCAAAGATATTGTCAGTCAGTATGTGATACTTCCTGCTTTTCCTACTGATAATAGAGAAAGTGGACATTTGAAGCAGGTTAATGTAATAGGCTTGATGTGAGAGTTTCATATGCATAACATTTGTAGAGTTTTTGTCTATTGAGAGATCTTTGGTAGGTAGACTCTCCAAGACAGATAATGCCAAAAAGTGACATGAGAGAGGGTGTTTAACTATTTTGATTTTTTAAGAATTCTTTGACCTCCCCCTGACCTTCCTGCTACAGGGACAGGCATTGCTGGTTAGCTCTCGACTAAAATACTGCATGGGATGAAATGTCCTATCATGGTACTTTAGTCCAAGGATGGGATAGGATTTTTTTGGCATCCAATGGCACAGGATGAGAAATTTTTCAAAATGAATGAACTTTTATTTTGTGTGGATTTTAAGAATTAGCTGAAAACTAAACAGATGGCACAGGACTGGGCACATTTTTGCACCCAGTCACTGGATGGGGTAGGATTTTAAAAATTCCATTCAGTGCTCTATCAACAACCAAAAGACCATGCTCTAGCCTTAGGATTGCTGGATGTTCACCCCATCACCATGGTGAGGTCATATCTGTCTGAGTGGGCTTTGGCAATTGCTTGTAAGTTTTAATACAAATGATAGAATTCATAGTGCTAGGGTGAGTTCTCAAAATGGTCATTCTCTTGTCAAATTGAGGGTAAGGAATAAAGTGGAATCATTTGAGACTGTGATGAATTTCATCAGGATGTGGGGATATGGGACTGGGATGAGAGTGGGATCACCTATCATTTCTGTAGGACTTGGCTCTGCCTAGTCTGTGTAATACACTGTTCAAAAAGTGGTACACTGTTCTTGAGGCTTTATGACATCCCTAGGGGTACTCAGTACCCAAATCCTGAAATGGTGGGTTGTTACTGAAATGGTGGACTGGCTCATGCTATCTCATTCATCAGCTATGTGATTCTCTTCTGTTTCGTGGAATTTTGAATTGTTAATCATAAACTTTCAAAAACCTTGGTGTCAAATGGTTATCAGCTGACAAAAGTCAATATATGCAAATTTATATTCCCATTGAAAGTTTTCTCCAATGCCCATCTTGTTTGAGTTATGCCAAATGGAGTGGGAAATTGTCTTAAAATGCAGGACATGAGAGAACTTATGACAAGAACCAGATGGAAGTGAATAATCTCTCTAGACTTGGGTTAGAATTAGAGTCACCCTCACTGGAGTGGAACAGGTGCAGGGCACAAAAATCAGTCCTGCATTCTCATCTAAGAACTTTGATGCATGGAGAGAAGGAAAGTTGGAAAAGAGGTGATCAAAAGTGAAGGCTTTGAAATTTTTGTCCAGTGCATGCTTTTATTTGACTGAGACCATGGGCCCCCGGAAAAAAAGCCATCGAGGTTGGAACTTCCAAAAGGGAGGTCCCACGTATGGGTACAGTGCCTTGTTAAGAAAAGTAGGAAAAAGGTGGACTCAAGCTCAAGGGAATGAGTCATCTCTGGCCCAAGTCCCAGGTCAACAAGATGCTGAATCCTTCATTCTCCCAGATATATCTCTTTTCTTCTTCAACAAAGAGATAAGGTGAGCATGAGCAAAAGTTCATGTTTTTGGATTCAGACTGAGACCTCTCCCATGCCATTCCCAATCTCCCCTTTTTGGTGAATATGCACCATGGCTCTCTGCTGCTCACTTGAATCCCCACGTCTGTTTTTCCAAACTGCAGGCCTTGATAAGTTTCATGTTGGCCTAGGCCATGTGGTAAATTAAATATATTATCCTGTGATGCTGACTGCTTTGAAGATTGTACTGAATGCATGCAATTTGATTTGAAGATTATACTGAAAGCATGCGATTCAATTGGGTGAGTCTTCTCTTCAATGGTGTTTTTGTTTTGCATTTATTCACCTTTACAAGTATGATAAATATATAATGGTATTTAGGTATATGCCTTTGCATATATCTATTTCATTCATGAAATACGAAGCACATGATACAAAGGCAGGTACTAGCTTTACATGCACATAGCCATGCAATCAGCACTCCAGATTGATGCATGGCACTTTACATTGAGTGTGATCAAGAATGACCAAACACTTAGGCCTACAATGTCATTATCTCAATGCTCATGCATGTTTTAAGTCATACTCATTAAATCAAGGCTATTGTTAAGTTTTACTTAGGTTCTGTGTACTTTCAGGCTTGGCAATACTTGTCATTCTTAATGACATGAGGAAAAGGCACAATGTTGTCTAATTCTATTTTAGTCTTAATCAAACCTAGGCCTGTAGGTCTAGGTTTTTTTGCTACAGTGCTTATCTAATTTCAGATTGCGAAGTCGTGAATCCAGAATGGGAAACACTGAGAAATCTTCAGAGGACAACATTGTGGATCCATTATCTGGTACTGCTGATAATGAAAAACCTCGGCCTGAAGAAGTGTTCAAATGTGTTTCCTGCAAGAAGCCACCATCTGGGGATGATACCCCAAAACTACTGAATTGCTTGCACACTTTGTGCTCTGTATGCATCCCGAAGCAGGTGACTCTTGGCAGAGGTGAAGATGTAGAAATACTTGGTGAGTTTTGGGCACATTGACCCATGTGCATTGATATTATAATATTGCTTACATGACTGAATGCATTTATAAGTATAATGTGCTTGGAAAAGAGAACTTAGGCCCAAAACCTTGACATTTTTTAGCACCCTGTGGTATTTTCTGTCCATCTGATACCCCCAATAGACAACAGAAATTGCTTAATGGTTCATCAAATACTACATTCACCTACTAACTGGTGACTTTCCTCTTCCCATACTGTCTTCCCCAGTTTCTTATCCCAAGAAAGTTTTTTTTTTCATAGAGGTATCCTGTTTCAGATTAGCAGGAATGAGCAGCCTCTGTGGTTTTCACTTCAAACTTTTCACTGGATGAAGAAGCCAATGTTGAATAATTTGTACAAGAGACAGTTGTGACTTTTGAGTGATTCATTGAGATTTGCAGCTTTGTACAAGTCCGTCTCTGGAAGGCTTTGATGTCAGAAACTCCTATGCATGGGATGCCTGTATGATGGAAGGAGTTTATGGATTGAAATCAGCATGCTGTGATGTATGGTACAATCATTGATTGGAATCACTATCTCATAATATTTTCATGGAATGGGTTCCTTTTCAAATTGTCAATTTCACATTTTTTCTGAAAGTAACTGGTCATTGGAGCTAATGAAGCTAATGATGCATGACAGTAGCCTGGGTGAGTAACCATAGTTTACCTTTGAAAATTTTGATCAAATTTAAGGTCATGGTGTGAAAGCTCTATGAGAGGACATATAGGCTTGAATTGATTGTTTCCTTTTTAAAACAGTTCAACATGTGATGTGCCCTGAGTGCAAGATCACCACGGCTACTGATGACCTTCAGAGGAATCGTGTTTGTGAAGAGCTGCTGCGGTTGAAACAGGATGCATCAGGATCTGGAGAGAAATCTGAAGAAGGCCAAACATCCTCAAAGCTGTGCACATCTTGTGAAGATGGGATCCTTGCTTCTGGTTTCTGCACAGAATGTAATGAATGGCTTTGCTCTGCTTGTAGAGATGTAAGTACAGTTTATTTCTTCTGACTGATGATCTTTAGTTGATGCCCTACCCTAATTTTGAGGCTTCATGGTATTTTTTTGTATGCAGGCTCATAAACGAGTGAAGATGACAAAGGATCACACATTGAAATCCATAGATGAGGTGGACAGCACAGAAAAAATCCCTAATAATAAGCAATATTTCTGCCCTCAGCACAAAGGAGTGAGTGAAATATAATTTAAAAAATTAAGTATGCTTTTCCAGGTTTCCATACAATAAATTTAAAATTTACATGGAATGTGTCTTCTATCTTTAGGAACAACTTATCCTGTTCTGTTTGGCGTGTGATCTTCTGACTTGCCGTGATTGTCAGCTCACAGAACATGCCAATCACAAGTATAAATTTGCTTCAGAGATTGGTTCATCCATAAAAGATGATCTGAAGTCTATGGTCTCTGAAGTCAAGTGAGTCAATGATACCCCTTATTGAATCCTGTAGATGTAGGAATGTTTATTTTACCCAATGAATAATTTGAATTACCTGTAACTTTTGTAAACAAGGAAGAGAAAAAGTGGCCTGGAGAAGCTTCAGCGGAGATTAAAGGCAAGGAAAGAGGAGGTGGAGATGAGAGCAGATGCTGTGAAGTTGGAGGTGAAGGATTATTGTGTGGAACTAACAGAAATGATCAAAAAGCGGGGCCTGACACTTTTAAGGACATTGTCAGAGCTGGCCAATGAGAAAACGAGTAAACTTAACAACATTGATCTACAAATCAAGGATCTCCTGACCCAGGCTACCACTGCACTTAACTTCTGTAGCATGTGTCTTGAAGCATCAGACATGGCACTCCTCAGTTCTAAGAAGTGAGAAACCTTTGTCTTTTTGCATCCCAATCAATGTGTCAGAGTTTGACCTTGCAAGTGATACTATGTAATCATTTTCAGGTTGGTGTGGAAACAAACAGGCTCCATTTCCATGACCACACCCTTGAAGGACATGTCAATTATATCAACTCCTGTAAAGCTGGAATTTGGAAGAGGGAATGTGACGCAATTAATGCGCAGTATGTTTACTAGTTTACTAGTAGTTTTTATATATGCCTATTGCAAAAAAAAACTGCTTTTATTATAAGGTATTGAAGCAAGACAGCATGATGTGCCCCACCTAAACTGTATAAGCAATGAGCTGTAGGTTTGAATGTGGTATATTGGGACTGTGATGGATTATCATGGCAACCTTTCAGGCTTGAAACCATTTCTTTCCACATTTTCTAATGACCATAATGGCAGATAGTGGGGTTTGCTCTTGGAAGAATAGTTTTCATTTTTCATTTTTATGTATCATAAATGATAACATCTAACCCATTGTTTCAGTGATCAACCAGGTTGGAACAGTGATCCTGGATGGCTCAGTGTACACTGGCTGTGGTGGCAAGGTAGCAGTTCCTCAAATGAAAACATCTCCTCCTGTTGTGGCTAGTGGGACTTTAGCTACCAAAGGATTCATCCCCATCTCCCCAGCAACACCACAAAGCAATTCTTCATCAAAATCAAACCTAAAAATGTCTATGGTTCGGCCATTCCAAGCCTCCCCTGAGACATGTGGGCCCAGTCAGTTGTACAAGGCCATCACAAAACCAATCACATCCACTCCAGTGGTGATTTCAGGTGGGAATCTCAGCTCTCCAGCAGCTGTGAAAGGAATCCAGCTGACAACTCAATCACCCTCACCAATGCAGCTGACCCCATCAGGGACATCTGTTGTCTCTGCACAACTTGTCACAACATCTCCTATGATGGGCAAACGAAATACTTTGGCATTGACTCCTGTCTCTATGGCTTCTGCCTTGAGACCATCTGTACCACACATGAGCTGGAAACGCTTGCAGGATGGTTCAATTTTGACATTCAAAGATGCATCTAAATCTGGTTCTGTCGTCACTGTGGCCAAGCCCACCCCTCAACAATCTCTCATACTTCGGAATATGGTTCCCATTCGTCCTAAACTGGATGGGCTTACAGCAGTGATTCCTTCTTGGCATATCCCAGAGAGTCTGGATGGAAACACTCAAGTGAACAAGGTCAGCTCATTGTCAGCCGATGAGCCCGGAGAACTGATGGGTGTTAGTAAGATTGTCATCGGATCAACAATACCAGTTAGCACAAGGGAGGCTGACTCTTCACAAGAAGCAGTGAAGGAAAATGTCATCCTTGGTGTTGAGGTTTGTATTTTATCATCACATATTGAGACAGTCACTGCTATGTAACTAGGTCTGAAAAGGTTTGTAGCATTTTTGCATGAGATTGTAATAAGATTCATTTATCTTTTCTATTTGAAGATTCTTTCAAAAGAAATTGAATGGAATTTCAGTTCATATGAGCAGTTCTCTTTGGAAATACTGAGCTTCTTTCTGTAAAATTGTTTTGTATCAAAATATAGACCACTGTAACAGAGGAGACCAGCAATGCAGAGGAAAAGAAAAGTGAAAGCAACCAAGATGCACCAACATCAAGTGCAGGTATCCCTCTTGCCATGCTTATAAATATTAATTTAGGCTGACCTGTGTCAACATTGATGGACTCTCTGTAGGTCCAGTTGAAAGTGCTGAAAATGGACTGAAGGAAGAAGAGAAGAAAAAGGACAAGACAAAAGGCAATGAGAAGGAGAAGGAGAAGGAGGAGAAGGAGAAGGTGACAGCAACAGCAACAGCGACAGAGGAACAGGCAAAGATTGAGGAAGTGCAGGAAGAAAAAGAGGAAATTGAGAACAAAGAAAACACGGTAGAAGAAGGGGAGGGAGAGGAAATGGAAGAAGATGCAGATCCAAATGAAGATTGGTGTGCTGTATGTCAAGATGGAGGGGAGTTGGTGTGCTGTGACTACTGTCCTAAGGTCTACCATCTTCGCTGTCATGTTCCACCTCTCAAGGAGGCCCCACAGTGAGTGTCCACATGCCTAACTAGTAAATAGGAAAGCCTAAAAGAAGTATTCCTAATTGTAAATTTTCATTTGTTTCTCATTCCTCTTTGAGAAAATCATGAGTGCTATAACATCTAATTATATTTCCTACTAAATTTTTTACCAAGAAAAATGCAACACCAAAAGGAATTGAGCTGCACAAGGAGTGTTCAGAAAGTAACAGGACTGTTCTATCATGAGAGCATGTAATTCTAATGAGTTCCAATCATGTACTCTGTTGACATGATAGACCTAGGATTTGAAGTAACCATTGCATTGGATCTTACTTGTCTTGTATACATATGAGACCTCAGCCTTTGGGGCACACTTCCTTATACCAATATTGAACTCAAGTATTGCTCCTGAAATTTGTTTTCACTAAGAAGCAAAAGAGAAAAGTATTGCAAAAGAAAACTACTTCCAAAAGAAAGGGTATTTACATTGTTTTTAGATAAAATTTGAACCCCCTCCATTGGAGCACTTCCATTAATTGCAGGTAGTGACATCTTCCTCATTGGTTGTTACATCTACCACCTGATGAAGGAGATCCTTCTGAAAGTTGTGTTTTCTCCATTCTCCATTATAAGGGGTGTTAGAAATTCAATTTGAAAACAGTATATATAACATTTTGGTAAGAAAGTTTCATTTTAGAATCAGGTAATTCACTGACTGGGTGTTATAGCTGTTTGGGAGTGTGCAGATTAGGACCCAGCAGGCATGCAGTTGCTCAAGACCTGAGTTATTAGTAATGGTGTTGATATGCTCCCAAAAATCTCTAACAAGAAATTCCACCAGTAGTGATGCCTTGAAGAGTTAGAAACCCCTCATGAGATCTTAGTATTTATCTTTCAGCTATAATCACATGATGACATTAACTTTGAGTTGTGATATTACTTGATGGAAAGCTTTACAGTAAAAGATACTTGGAGTAAAAGGCAAGGGTTATTGGAAAGTGCCAAGGAATAAATTATCTTATTGATATTAAAATATCAAGGTGGTTCCAGTTCTTCATATTGGTAAGGGAAAGTTGCTTGTATCTGACATTGAGCCACTTTTTCTCATCCCATTATCTTTTCATCAGCAGCAGTTGAGGAATCCCTGATTGCTGGAAACCAAAAATATCAATTTCCATTTGCATCTCTTTCTTTTTAACCCTTTGAACCCTAGCATCCATACTTGTATCCGCCCCCATCCTATGTACCTGGGATATTTTTTTGCAAATTTGAAAACTTCATCAATGAACATACAAGCTTGAGGCTTAACCTAGATGTAAGCCCAATGGTGATTGGTCAAGCCGTTTCCTGGCAATGTGTCATAGTAACTGTCAATCTGGTGGGTCAGAGCACCTGTTGCTCAGGCTGGAAAACTGGTCTGATGGGTTCAAAGAATTAATTTTTTTTTTTTCTCCATGAACTAGATCATAGGGAATCATATAAGTGTTATAAAAACCCAATTAACTTCTTCTGACCCCCCAGTTTGCCTTTATCCATTTTGCCCCCATTATCAGTTAATTTGATGAAACTGTATTCATCTTCTAGGGAAGATGAATCTTGGAAGTGCTTGAAATGCATGACCAAGGAGGAGATCATTCAGGCAACAGATGGAACAAGACCTGCTGGGTCAAAACGCCGGAAGCAGCTGAGCCCAAAGGATGAAAAAATTGCATCTCGAATCACGTTGGAGATGTTGTGTCGTGAAGATAGCCTCCCTTTCCGAGAGCTTCCTCCAACACAGGTATATTTTTATTTATTGAGGTTCCTCTTTTCTGGTGATGAATGGATTGCCATATTATGGACTGCCCATTATTGTCATCAGGAATCTGTGCCCAAGCCTGTGACGTTGAACACAATCAGACAGAAGCTGGATCCCAGTTCAGGGACTTACTATGAGAAGCTGGATGACTTTGTCTCTGAAGTCCATTCCATGTTTGACAATGCTCGGAAATATTATGATGTAAGCAGGTTGTTGTAGCACTCTTTTCCTAAATTCCATATGTGGCATTTTCTATAATCATTTATCATTTACAGGAAGAGAGTGACATTCGAAACATGATTGCCTCTTTGGAAGCATTCTTCAGTGCTTTGGTAAAAGAATGGATTGTGATTCCAGAAGAAGGTGGTGGCACTGTAATTGACCAAGATTCCAGTCCATCCACAACCAAGAAGAGAAAGATTCAAAATTGAATGTATGACATCCCACTGCACAGTCTGTTCTCAGTATACCTACTTTCATCTCATGCCTTCTGGACTCACCAGAGGTTGGATCTCTTTGAACATTTCATTGTTTGGTTTCCTTTTTTATGTTTTAGGCCTAATTTTTCTTTTCTTCTGTTGAATTTGAATAAACCATGTGTGAAATCTTCCTTGCATGGAAGTGTGTAAGACTGGCTTCGAGCAGCAAAGCAAATGCCATGACAGCTGGTAAAGCTGCTAGAGACTATCTCTCAGCTAATGGCACAGCATTATATTTGTACAGATGATTTTTTTTATAGCTGAGAGGATTATCTGTCTTGTTCCTAATCCTAACACTTCATCAGTCAGCTTCTTCCTCTCTTTCCTCAATCATGTGTCAGGTATAAGGGATGTGCTTTTCTGCACATCATTGGGTCAAATGTAAATTTTTTACTTAGCAAGCCATATGGTTAATAGAACAATAATGGGGGATTTGGATACAGACACTCGATGTGACAGCTCAGGTGCATCAGAGAGTTCTCTGAGGGAACCTCAGGTAGGCATCCTTCATCTCATACAGTGGAACTAAGTCTGACAGTTCATGAAAATATGGAATTTGACCCTTCCTCTACAGGGCTATTCATATGAATTTGTGGAGCCACTTGATGCCCGCTACGAATGCCCCATCTGCCTTCAGTGCATGAAAGATCCCGTTCAGACAGGATGTGGGCACCGCTTCTGTCGGGACTGTATTACAACATGGGTGCAGTGAGTGTCCTTAAATTTTTCATGGCACCAAAATTATTGCCTCACATTGGAATATTGGAAGCTGAGAACAAATCCTTTTAGAACCTCAGGACTGGAGGAATCTAGTTTACCAATCCACCTTTGACAACTAAAGTGACAACTGTATAGTGCTTAAATCAAGATATAAAGCCAAAGAAACCTACATCTGGGCCTGATCTGTGCTCAAGGAGCAGTGAATGATGCTGGAAGTTTCCTGATCAGCCTATGTATATGGGTACATACATGGGTGATTCCTAGGAATTTACCTCATCAAGCATTCCTTTGTCTTTTTTAGTAGGACTTCTCCTCCAGAAGAAAATGTATTGTAACGCATCTACAATAAACTAAACATGAACTTGCTTCTGCAAATGTCAGCAGAGCAGACAAGGGGCATTCAAAAAGTCTCTTCAGGTACTTCCTTCAAAATGGTTGTAAGTACCTACATGTAATGTAGGTACTTCCAGTTGTAATACACCATTCTAACTTTTCTCACAAGACTGATGAAGTTTGAAGTTGACTGGAAACTATTCATCTTATTTGTTGATAGTTGACAGCTTCTGAGTTTTTTTTTTTTATGTGCTACCAATGTGGTTACTGAAGGGGTATTACAATTGAAGCATTTGCTGTGATGAATTTGAATGAACCTTGAAGTCAATCTCTTAGCAGATCTTTTGAAGGAGGGTTAGTGGGATGCTAGCCTCTCATCTGCTGAAAAATCTGCTGGGAAATAGATGCCTTCAAGAAAATTCATCATAGCAAATGTCACAATTTTAACACCCCTTCAGTAGTTCCTTAGGTAACACAAGCAAAAAAATCCATAGAAGCTTTCCATCAACAAATAAGATGACATTTTGCCAGTCACCATCAAAAAAAGTATTCCCAAAAGAAAAGTAAGAATGGTGTTTACAACTTGAAATGCCTTGGACCAGAAACTTTTTGAACTCTCCTTGTATGTGCCTTGAGTGCTCTAAGAGTTTGACATACCCAATCTGAGGTCTTGATTACCTGATTTTTCCTAGTTTGCCTCATGGCTAGTAATTTCTGATATGCTTTCTTCAACCTTGCACCTAGTGAACAGTATTTGCATTGGTAGATGTTGCACTTGAAAGATGTTATGATGAAATTAGAGACAATTAAATTCCCTGTGGAGTAAAGGAATTTTTATCCCTGGCTATAGGGTAAAAGACCCAGTGATGGGCCTGTTAAGGGCAGGTACTCAGTGATGGGCCACATTGCAGGAAAATTAAAAAAAATTGGCATTTGTTCCATGACCACCCCTGAAGTGTGTATGTGCTTGAATGCTGGTAGCCTATGTCACAACAGAGGTAGGCATGTTATGGAAGTGAAGCTATTGGAATTTTTATGTGCTGTGGCCCATCATTGGGGACCGGCCCATCACTGGGTCTTTTACCCTACTTTTTTTGTTGAAAGGTACCTAATACTGTACAGCAATTTTCCCCTTATGGAAAAGTAGTTTACACAGCCTCTTCATTTTAATAGTGTTTAATTATATGCTGAATTCCAGGAAAGGTTCAAGATGGTGTCCACAGGACAACAGTCCCATCACAGATGGCATGATCTTCCCTGATTCGGGCTTTAAACGGGAGATCTTGCAGCTTCAAGTCCGCTGTTCCAATTCCCCCAATGGTTGCAATCATACATCAAGCATCTCATCCATGGTGCAGCATGAAGAAGATTGCATGTATGCTATGGTGCAATGCCCAAATGCTTGTCAGTTTAGCATAATGAAGAAAGCATTGAAGAGCCACCTGCAGGTGGAATGTCGGCAGAGAAACATAATCTGCTCTTCTTGTAAAGAGCAGATTCAATTTGATGGTCAGCAGGTGAGTTGTTCATTATTTATCAATTTTATTGCAGCTTTTCCATGTGTATAGGTAATTTTTGTAACTGAAAATGTGTGAATTCTACTCTCTACCCTTAACCCTTTGGAGTCTGAGTATTTTGGATAAGTCAGCACTGTCATCTGTAGTTTTTTCCCATCTCTCATCATGAGGCCAACACAAGATAACTTAGGCATGGACCCCAAAGGGTTAAAAGTCCTTCAATGCCAGTTTTTCCAGGATTACATCTTTGGCAGAAAACCACCAGTGATGGTACTTAACACAAGCAGTGTTGGGCATTAATTGAAATACAACTATATGAAAAATGCTTTTTAGACAATTGAAGCATTTTTCATTTTGCATTTCAAGCATTGTGTATTAAGTATTAGTTTTCATAATGCTATAAGACAAGCATTTCATATATGCATTTACTGATGGTTTGTGACACAAGCAGGCAGTTAGTGACCTAAGGGAAAGGGAACCGTTACCAATTCTTTCTAGTTTGGGGTTGGTTGAGAAGGGGCATAAAATTTCATCCTTTGCCTCCAAAGCCTTGGTGTGTGTCTATGATTGAGGAGAGTATGATGTACCAAGTTATTTCCATGACAATAGAACCAAGTGTCCTCCTCCTTTGAATCAAGAGGTCTATGCTATTAGGTTGATGTGGAAATCTGACAAATTTAATTCCCATATGGGCAGATGATAGGTAGAGGATCTTCAATACCTCAAGAAATTATATGAAAAAGTTGTCTATGATGTTACTTTTCAGATGTTAATGTTTATACAGAAAGAGCCAAGCAAGGAAAGAAAAAAAAAACCCTTGGCAGATAGATTGTTGGATGGGTATAATGATATTAGATCCTTTATGATTTTCACTTGGTCTGTTTTTGAGGCTCTCTGCTGTATTCATAGCCACCAGTCACTCCTGCAAGATACTATTTGTGTCAAAAAGAGTTTTGTCAGTGTTTTGGAAAACTGAGGCTGGGAATTTTTGCCGTACTCTCCAGATTTGATTCCTGTGACAGAAGATATCACATGAGTCATGTTATTGGTTTATTGAGATTAGAAGTGCATGAGGGGAGGGGACATGAATACATTCTTTTTATTAAAAAAAAGACAGATCTATTCAAGATTGTGTTATTTTTTTTGTCTAACAAGACAGCATATTATTAGTTACAATAATATCAGGATCATTCTTACTTGCAGGCCCATTTGGCTGAATGTCCAAAAATAACTGTCCCCTGTGATGCATGTCATAGTCTCCTTGCCAGAGAAGAGATGGCTAGTCATCTGGCCACAGAGTGTCCACGAATTTCAATATCCTGTCCTTTCAAGGAACAAGGGTGCCGAACACGTATTGAGCGGGGGCTTATCCAGTATCACCTACAGGAATCTACTCAAAAACACTTTCAGGTATGCATGAGTTTATGGCATAGATTACCCAAATAAAATTGGGTGCTGTAATGCTTACATACTGTTGGTGAAATTTGTTTATTGTACCAGGAGGCCTAAAATAGTTGTCTTCATGCATTAGTGGCATTTCACAATCTTTTATTGTAGTTTCTTTTCAAGGATAACCAAAATGGGCATTTGAAGCAATCATCATATTCCTTTCTGCAGATAGATACAAATAACTTCACATATCTTATCTTGCATTTTCAATGTCTTCCTGAAGGCACTATCTTGACTTATGATACTGTATTTATTTTTTAAATTATCTGATGGCATAATTTTATTCAGGCTCAAGGCACATGCTTCAGCTATGCAGTTTCACTCCTGTCTAAAATTAAGATTCTGTGCAGACAACTTTCTGTCACTTTCAGTGCCACTATCAGTTATGTGTGAAAAGTGAAACAAAGATCAGTTTTGCAATGACCATGCATTATATAGGGTGATTTAAAAAGTTGTATGCACACTTTGAGTCACTCTGTATTGTTGATGGTAAATATCATAGCAACTAATGATGGTGCATTTGCTAGCATACAATATTACTTTAAAATTTTATTAGTAATGGTAACATAAATTATCTCAACATGGCAGATATACAGTTGAATTTCAAACAGAGGAAGTACATTTTAAAGTGGTACTGCAAGTATGAGAATGTAAATGAAGTGCAGCATGTCTGGAAGCAAGAGTATGGAACAGCAGCTACCATGCATGTAACATTTAGTCATGTATGTTATCAATTTGAAAAACACGGAACTGTCCAAATTGTGAACAAAACCCAGTGCAGGAGAAAATGGACAGTGCAAAGTCAGGAAAGTGTAGAAACTGTGTACCAGTGTTCTAAAAAAAATTTTTTTTTATCATTTGACATAAGACGTCCATTGTATGTTGTTTTCACTTGCACACCTAGCAAAGTTTTGTTTATTCAGTGCAATAAGTATTAAAGATACATAATTTCAATATGTGCCTGTAGTTTCTGTGGGATATTGATGCCAATGACCACATTTTCTGAGGAAACCATGGCAATTAAGATTAGGCAATTTAGGGTCAAACTACTTGATAGAACTGCCTCCATTCAGTTAAAAGGAAATTATTTTCCCCACCTTGTGGCCTCAAAACAAAAGTTGATAATATGTCTTCATATATTTTAAATGGGTGTTCTTTGCTGAATTTAGAAATGTAGTTCTTATTCAAATATAAATGATCTGGAAGAGGATGTATGAGGGGAGGTCAAAAAGTTCTGAGACCAAGGCACTTCCAGTTGCAATACACCATTCTTACTTTTATCATGGGAAGACAGATGTGCTTGATGGGGACTGGTGAAATTTAATCTTATTTGTCAATTAAGGGTACCTTCTATGAATTTTTTTCAATGTGCTTCCCAGAGGGTCTGGAAAAGCAGTATTAAAATTGAGACGAAAGCTGTGAGGAGTTTTCTAACCTCTTAGGAGCCAACCTACCAGCAGATCTTTCAGAGACTGAGAGTATATAGTCCTATTGATCTTCTAAAAGATCTGTGGGCAGATTGGCTCCTTAGAGGTTAGAAAATTCCTCACAACATTTGTCTCCATTTTAATACCCATTCACAAGACACATTGGTAGCATATTGAAAAAAATTCATAGAAGCTATTCTTAATCAACAAATAAGATGAAATTTTGCCTGTTACCATCAAAGACACCTGTCTTCCCATGATAAAAGTAAGAATGGTGTATTGCAACTGGAAGTGCCTTGGTCTCAGAACTTTTTGACCTCCCCTCGTAGGTGCCTAATATTAGGTTGTTCCGAAATAAATGTCCGATTTTCAAAGTGTAATGTTTTGTCTATCATTATACCTGTCAATTTTGCGATAACCAGTTATTGTTATATACCGTTTTTTTCAGCAAACCTTTCTCTATGTAAGCCACTTAGTTGCTTTTTATTTATCTTTAGCCTAACGTTCCTGTAGCTGCCAAAGCGAACGATGGAGAAACGCAACTTTCGTCCGATTTTTCTTTACGAGTTCAAACTTGGAACTAATGCTGCCGAAACGGCGAATAAAATCAACACTGCGTTCGGCCAAGGATCGGTCACGGATCGCACCATTCGACGCTGGTTCGAAAAGTTTCGTAACGGAGATGAGACTCTCGAAGAACAGGAAGGTAGAGGTCGGAAAGAGTCTCTTGACGACGCCGTTCTGAAGACTATGGTGGAACGTGATCCCCATGTAACGGTCCGAGAGCTTGCGGAAGAATTGTCTGTTGGCATCGCAACCGTTTCCCGTCATCTGAACGACATTGGAAAGACGAAGAAGATGGACAAATGGGTTCCGCACGAACTCACCGCGAGTAATCGCACTCGCCGATACGAGATCAGCTCCGCATTGCTTCTACGCAACACAAACGACCCTTTTCTCGACCGTATTGTTACGTGCGACGAAAAGTGGCTCCTGTACGACAATCGTAAACGATCGGCGCAGTGGCTGGACCGAGATGAGCCTCCCAAGCACTTCCCAAAGCCAAGCGCTCACCCGAAGAAGACTATGGTCACTGTATGGTGGACTTCAACAGGAGTGGTGCACTACCACTTTCTGAAACCTGGTGAAACAATCACAGCGGAGAAGTACTGTGACGAACTGGACACGATGCACGAGAAACTTCGCAAACTTCAGCCTGCATTGGTCAACCGAAGGGGGCCAATTCTGCTGCACGACAACGCCCGACCGCATGTCGCACATCTCACCGTACGCAAACTGAATCAGCTGGGCTACGAAACTCTGCCTCATCCACCATACTCCCCAGACATATCACCTACGGATTACCACTTTTTCAAACACCTGGATCACTTCGTCAAGGAGAAACACTTCCATGATCAGACCTCTGCCGAAGATGCCTTTAAGGATTTCATCGCCTCCAGAACCCAGGATTTCTACTTGACTGGGATCAACAAGCTTGTATCTCATTGGCAAAAGTGTGTTGAAGCAGATGGTGCTTACTTCGATTAAAAATGTTCATTATCAGCTGAGTTACGACCCTTCAAAGTTTGCGATCGAATTCGGACATTTATTTTGGAACAGCCTAATATGTATGTACCCTAAGTGACTCAAAAAATTTCCTCATTGTTACATGGCTGTGAATACCACACAAGGTGTCAGTAGGAAATTACCAAAACCTGACCTCCGTGTGGAGGTGGTTTAAGGAAAATTTGAATGAAATTGGTCATGTATAACAGAAGTAAGAGCTTTTCTCTGTGATGTATAATGAGTTAATATCCAAATTTGACACCTGATTGGTTCCTCTGTGTGCAATCAGACTCACCCTATAAACAGTCTAACTGCAAAGGCAGGTGCAGACAGACTTGACTTCCAGACTACTGGATATGAGGTTCTCTGATACCTCTTTAATTTTCTCTTTTCAGTTTTCTCCTAAGTACTTCTACATAGCAATAATGTTCCAGGTATTTAAAACCCTTGAAGGTGTATACTGATGATAATATTGCTGTTGGTAATGCCTAAATATGATTTTTCACAGTTTTATCACCAAAGATCTTGAAGTACCAATGAAGGACAAATGGAGTAAACATGTGCTTGGGAAGGACAGTAGCATGCTGGTAAATGTTTGATTCTGTAAACAATAGGTGTATTGCGTCAACCTTTTATGGGCTCAAAAGCAAAAAGTTGATTATATCAAGAAAAAAAGAGACTTTTGTCTCATGTCTTTGAATGGCAAGTCATTATGGAATTTAGGATTACCCCAGGACAATTGGTGGATAAAAATTTAGAGAACTATGGAAGAGTTATGTCATCTATGGTTAAATTATTTGCCATTCATGTATCCTTTACCCTCTGATGTCTGTTCAGTTGTTGACTGCAGAGGTGAAGAAGCTTCAGCTGCATGTATCTGATCTACAGAGAGCACAGGGTTCAACGTCCAATCTCCAACGCCAGCTGTCCACCCCAAATGTCCTTGATGCTTGTGCATCTTCTCCTGTGTTGAAGAAGAAGAGCCTGGAATCTCTTGTGGATTTCCCAACATCCAAGGGGGGTTCTCTCCCTGCCAGCACTGAATGTCTCCTCCAGCAGGTCTGTGAGAAGAATGTCCAGTTGGAGCAGAAGATCAGAGAGCTGGAGCTTCAGATGGGAAACCTCTTGAGACGCATCCAAGAACTAGATCATTGTAATCGTCTGAGAAGTGACCAAACACGTGATTTGGAAGGACGATTCTGCAATGGAAATTTCATCTGGCGCATCACAGAATTTTCTTCACTTCTGATCAATCCTGAGTCAGTGGTTCTTCACAGTTCTGGCTTCTACAGTGCCCCCTTTGGATATCGTATGTATTTACGGCTGAATTTTGCATATCAGAATGATCAATTACACTTGTCAGTCTTTATTCACATGATGCAAGGTGAATATGATGATCTCTTGGAATGGCCTTTCATTGCCAAGATCCATTTGATCTTATTGGATCAAAGTCCTGGGAAGAAGCACCATGTCTGGGAAACTATGCACTCCCAGCCGAGCATGTCTGCTTTTCAGCGTCCCACCAGCAAACGAAATCTGAACGGCTATGGTTTCCGATGTTTTGTCTCCCTGGAGAGGTTGAGGCAGGGTGGGTATATCAAGAATGACATGATTGCCATCCAGGCAAAAGTGGAGACATTGGATGTCCCCTGTATCTCCCTCAATGGTCTAAATGTCCCTCTGTCCTGAACTGTGATGTGATTCTGTGACCTTTTGCCATCCTTAATTTTTTTTGGAACTCTCAGCCGTCCTTCCTTGCAATGATCTTTTCAATGATCATGTGTCCAATTGATGGACCTAATAAGTAGTCCCTTTCTGTGGTGATGTTTCATATGGATTTTTGTTTTGTTGTGTCCATTCCTTTCATGTTGATAACTGTTCCTCTTGGATATTTTGTGATGTTTCTCATCACATTCCCTGAACCATGTTGCACTCCTGGCAGTCTTTCAAAGAATTATATACGTAGTAAATGATTGCATCAAGTTTCATGTTTTTTCCTTTTTCCCATATTGTAGATGATCTGGAAAAAGGCTGAATGAGTATCTTTGACATTTTCTTAAAGTAAATTACAATTTTTTTCTTGACATTCTTCAGTCAACATTATATAATGTTGACTGAAGAATGTTTGCTTTTCCCCAAGAGAGATAAGACTTTTGGCTTCCTGATGATTCTAAGTCAAGCATTCCTCATTTCTCATTCTGTTTTTCAAAAATTTGAAAATTTTTTAAGAATTCCTTTGAAGTCTCATCCTATTGTCAGATTATCAACAATATGGTATTTTATACTTGTCTTGCATTGCCAAATATGCAAGGACTGAATGATGTCTATAGGCCATCGCTTTGGGAGACGTCCTGTCTTCCCTGACATACACTATTGACACTTTTGTTGCTGAGTTTGCCTGTTTCCTGTAAGCCATATCAGCCCTGACTGACAAAAATGATTGCAGGTATAGCAGAGGCATAGCTTATTAACGCATTGCAGATGGGTCATGTAGAAAGCTGTGATTGCCTGTCCCAGATATTTTACAACTATTTACAAAAATCACCACATTATGTGAAAGGCACATCTTTTTCACACAAGTAAATAAAATGCACTAGAGAGCAGTAGCTTGCACATCAGTGAGATGATGCATAAAAATGTAGTTCTCCATGTTCTGTCCTCAACACCTGCTGGCAAAACATGAAAATTCTCATGATCTGTCTGCAATGTGTAAAGTAATGCTGTAACTTCTTGATCAAAACCTGACATTCTGCATCTCAGTTATTATTATGATGGAAATAGTACATGGTCTTGTCTAAAAAGTGACTGCTATTGAAGAGGCAAATATTATAACACTTTGGAAAATTAAGTTATGGGAAGGATGTGTGTCTTATTGGAACACCTTTGAGTATCCTTGCAGTTTTGAGCCAAGAGTCAGAATACAACACTGACCATATACCTGTATATGTATTGCATTTTATTCATGCAAATGGAGGAGACCCTAAACCTGTAGCACATTTCAGAAGTGATTCCTTATCATATCCTTCCTATGACCCATTTATGCAAGAAATTCCAAACAGTGAATTTTTCACATACTGACCAAGAATTACATCTCAAAGATTTCCTGTTCCAAGTGCATTTTTACCCTACATGCACCTACAGCTGCTGTACCCATATGGAAAAGGAAATTATTTCACCTGGACATCTTTTTTTTGTTGTAAATCATACTTGGCATTCTTTCTTGAATAGGCCACAATTTGATAATATATTTGGGTCTTGGGGAATCAGATACATTCCATAGCAAAAGCATGTGAACATTTTGCTGCTAGAATAAAATATTTGCTGATAGAATAGCATGTCTCAATTGATGGCAAAATCTCATCTGTTTCACCTATGAACTCCTTTCCAAATTTTATCATACAAAGACATGAGTGTGGTTTTCTTTCTTTGAATGGAAACTGACATACTGTAGCCATGATCTATGCAGCATTTTTAGAGTCTTTAAGTATTTGTCCATACTTTAAGCCTCTAGTCAGACTGAAATACTTTTGGAACTTATATTTTGACATTTTTTAAAGGAATGTTATCACGATCACTGAAGCAGCTGTCAACTCAACGTAATTTGGCAGCCAACATCCTCCTGTATCTGAGAAAAGAGAAACCAGGATGTATGCACCATATTGCCAGAGGAGGCCTAGCCCTGACGTTGTTGACCCTGACCCATGAAGTCCCTCTCATTGATCGCCTCATCCAACCCATCCCTACTTCTGTTCCACTTGTGCCAAAAGCAGTCACTGTCCAGACAAGGTCAAGCACCTTGAAAGTCTTGAAGAGGACATGGGCAATTGTAAAGACAACACTGAGGACGTTGCGACTCTTGATCTGGTTCTCACCATCTATCCTTTTCTACCCACTTTGCTTCTGTGGCCCTGAAGGGAAAAGGGCATGGAGAGCCATCCTCTTCTGGTGTGAGTCCAATATAAAGTCTCATTGAAGTAATTAGGAAAAGAAAATCTTGCATTTGCTTTTTTTTGACCATTTTTTGAGTCTACTGCAGTTTAAGTTTTCTTTATTCAAGATTTGTTAGACTTAGTTTCCTGTTGTTATATAAACTGCATTGATCACAAATGCTTCATCCAGTGATGGGTGGAATAAGTTACAGTAGCACTTTCCATCATTGGCACTGAATGGAATTCTTGCTTTAATTTTTTTCATATGTACTGTAGCTGTGTGATATGTGTGATGGTATCAGAGGAGCTAAAGAATGTAATTCCTAGAGAAAGCTAAAAGATGACTTTGTAATTTCATAAACCAAAATGTGAATTCTGATGATGTTATTCTGAGCTGGATCTAATGATATTTTGGAACAGCTGTATCACATTCGGGCCCCATCTTTGTCAAGCTTGGCCAATGGGCTAGCACCCGAAGGGACATCTTCTCTGATGAATTTTGTCTCCTCTTTGGGAAACTACAACGTTTCACTAAGCCTCATTCCTGGTCTGAAACAGAGAAATCCCTAAACAAAGCCTTTGGAGAGGCATGGAGAACCAAGATCCACTTCAGGGGGAATCCTCCTCAGCCAGTCGGTTCTGGTTGTGTTGCACAGGTTTGTCTACACACTTGAACTGTTATTCAATCATATTAGCACAAGAATGAAGTTGAATGCATTTTTGGTGAGACAGGTCTATATGGGAGAGGTGAGACCTATTGATATGGAAAAATTTGCAGTCTCCAGTGAGTCTGGTGAGTTGCTTATTTTGTCTATTTTTTTGTTTGGGTAGGCATAAACTCTACAGGGATGAGCTGTCAGGTTTACCTTTCCCAGATAGATGTGTTCCTTCTTGAAAGAGATCATACCCCTGTGTACAGAATAAAATTGAGAATGGGAAAGGGAAAGTATTTGCAAGTTACTCACTGCCTTAAAGAGTTACAAGTAGCTAAGCAGGAAACCCCAAATTTTCAGGATGGAGAAGGCAGGAAAAGGATGACTAGCTGTTTCCAATATGGTTGGTCTTCAGCAAGAACAGAGACTTCCTCAATGGAGATTGGGCACATTTCCATGCTGACTTGTTGTTCCAACTGAAGCAAGAATGTCCATGAGGTGACTGTAGCTATGACAAAAAGTGGTTTACCGGAAAAGAAGAGACAGGGACACACTTGATATATCCCAGACTTTGGTGCTGATGTTCTTGACCAAATGAGATTGGGAGCATTTCACATTGTGAGCACTGATATCCTTATCCATATGAGCTGTGTCAAGTAGCAGCTGCAGTAGTCACAAATGTGTAAATTGAAGGACGGTTGAATGTCATACCTGAGCATATAGTGATATTTTATATGCCCCACTGGTCAGGTGTGAGAGGGTTCAGATATCCCTCCAGACTGAGAGGATAATTGCTATTTTGCCTTCTATCACAGAGAGTGTTAATGACTATCTCTCTCCCTGGTGGATTTTACACCCTCATGTGGGGTGGTGCTCATCGATGTGAAAAAGTTGCTCTTTACAAGATTAAGTTTCTCTTATGTTGCTACGTAAAAAGCACACCCTATTGTGCTAGGAAGTGTGATTCCCTTTTTTTTCCTTATCTCAAACCACAATTAACTGTTTATTCAAAGGATCCATGAGAGAATCATGTTAGGCCAAACTTTTTAGCAGTCACTATGAAATGAAGACTCACTTTTAGAGATAGTATATTTGAATCCCATGCACTTATTTAGGAGGAATGCTGGCAAAAAAGACAAAACTAGGCTTCAGCAGAAGCATAATCCAGTATGTCCCTCCCACATTAGGACTTGCTTAGTGGATAGACATACTTTCTCCATCTTTTTGAACTTAGTGAAAAGTTTCAAGGAAAAATGTGATTGCATGCTACCTCTTTGAGAAGCTTCATTGCATGGTCAAACCAAATTGTACACACCACTTCATTTGGGGTTGTATTTGCTGAAGATCCAGATAAACGAGTCCCAGTTGCTGTAAAGGTGCTTCACCCAAATATCCATGCAAAAGCAGCACAGGACCTGGATGTTCTGCGTTCTTGGGCTGAGGCCATTACCTTCTGCTTCCCCCACCTCTCCTGGCTTAATCTCACTCGATGTGTGGAGGAATTTGAGAAGATGATGAAATGCCAGGTATAGAAAATTTTGGGAACATATTCCAAGCTTTTGGCTTCTCAGTCCTTTCTACACTGCTGATTCTTTCACCTAAGAAAGATGGATCTTCGACTTGAGGCTAAGAACCTGGAGAAGTTTCAAAAAAATTTTTCTGATGTGGAACGTGTGATTTTCCCGCAACCACTCCACCCATTTGTGGCTAAACATGTCCTGGTTGAGACATATGAAGTGGGACAGCACATGAGCTCATGTTTGGAGGAGAAATGTTTATCAATGGAGCAGCGGAGACATTTGGCTGATATGGGTGTCAACATACTCCTAAAAATGGTACCAATAAATTATTTCTTAAGGTTTTGAAATATGAAAATCTGACTAAAGGCAATAGGCTTCATGATTCTGATATAATGTTTTAGGTGTTTGTGGATAATTTTGTCCATGGTGACCTCCACCCGGGTAACATCCTGACTAGGAGGATGATGCATGAGGTTGAAGACTCCAATATGGGATTGTGGAGCTCCCTTATCAAGTGGTGTGATATTTTGGACAAGAATGAAGATGTGGAGGCTTTCAAACCTGAGATGATCATACTGGACTGTGGGATTGTGGTCAGGATGAGTAAGCACGATGTCCGCAGCTTCAGGGAGACTTTCACGGCGATTGTCGCTAATGAGGTGAGAGAAATGCTGAAGTCCATGTGCATGATGAATGATCTTGTTCTGTTGTTTTTAATTAGATAAAGTTAATGAACTTTGGAGACAGTGTCTTGTAGGCTGTAATTGTTGTAATTTGTAAAACACTGAAATTTTATTTGTCCAGGGGGAAAAGGTAGCAGATATCATCCTGAAGAACTCACAGCATGAATGCCTCAACCCTGATTCATTTAGGAAAAGCATCATGAAGCTGGTCTCAGCTGCACATGAAAACACTCTTTCTCTTGGAAAAGTGAGTTTGGATCAATCATGCAACAATAATAAACTGCACAGCAACAGAGTTCTGAATATTTTATTGTAGAAGTAAAGTAGTTGTTGATTATTTCTGGTAGCAGTGAAGTTTAACCCTCAGGAGTAATGTTATTCTCTCAAGAAGACATGGGGATAAGTAAATTGTCTGATTTTAATGAGGATTTTCAATAGGGTCCAAGCACCAATAGCACTTTCTTTATCTGTTGTTTTTACCAGGAAAAATGCTTCCTACAACTGAGAGTGATTCTCTGCTGAGAGAGTATTCTATCATGCCAAATGCCCCCTTCTCCTTTCTTTCCTCACATTTTGGTTTTCTCAATCTGAGGATAGTTCTGAGAGCCATGATTGCTGGTTGTCATTTTGAGACTTATGGAAGCCCTTTCCTTGAATTTTTGTTGCATTTAATATTTGTAATTACGTATACTTAAGTCAATTTCAATCTGCCAGACTACCATCTACATTACTGATATCATTTATATATAATTTATTTCCCTGATGAGCAACATCAAGATTGGGTTTTCTTCGTGTGCATGAGTCAGGGCATGGCTTCCTGAGTAAAATCTAGATCCCAAAACATATTTGCTTTGGTATCTGGATTTTATGACTCAAGGCAAAGACTATGCCTTTCTTCTCGAGCATTTCACTTCTTCCACCATTACCCCAAATTCCTCAGAAAGTTTCTGTTCTTGTTCCAAGAAAGATTTCATTCCAGTTCCAGCAGTTTCAGTGAGTTCAATCCCAAGTTCAGGAGTAATGGAGAGAGGCAAAGCAGCTGCTATTTAATTGCATCAGCCCTTTTGGAAATCGAACAGAAAGTGTGGATTGAAAGTAGGATTCCTTTCAACTGTGGTTTCATACCATTATGAGTCTGCAATCTGGCATAAACAAGGCCCCCCAATAATGAGACCACAAATGAAACTATATACACGAATGCTACGTTAACACTTCTGGTTTACCTTTAGTTGGCCAGAAGTAGACATGGACTGATGATTTGAGTATTTTTAAAGTGCAAAAATGCCTTTTTTTGGGGGTGGAGCAGGTAGATGTTGGTGCTCTGTTGCAGTCATTCTTTTCCACGGTGATCGCTCACAAGGTGCGGCTGGAAAGTCAGTTCTCTTCCATCATGCTCGCCATAATGGTCCTTGAAGGACTCGGCCGATCACTCGACCCAGACATGGACATCCTGAAGAAGGCCCAACCCTACCTCCTATCCCGTTCCTTCCTTGCATAATGTGAAAATTGTTGTTTTTTTTTAATAAATCAAATTCCCTTCCTGTTGATTTTTTTTAACGTATGAGACAATGCTGTTGATGCAAGGTGTGGTTGGAAGTGATGACATCGAGAAAGGAAGAGAAAGAGAGAGAGAGCCAAGGTGACTACCAGGTGGACACCTTCCCATAGCACGGGAGCATGGCATTGCACTTTTGACATGATTAGATATATCCCGTGACTTTTGTCGCTTCTATTTCGGCAAGATTCTGTAATATTATTTTTGGCATCTACAGTCGTCGAAGAAGAGGGCTAGGCCTTTATTCCTTCACCACACCTCTGATGTCTGGAATCAGACGATGGCAGCTTATCACGATGAAGTGGAGATAGAGGACTTCGAGTATGAAGAGGAGACGGAGACGTATTACTACCCTTGTCCCTGTGGGGATCGGTTCCAGATCACCAAGGAGGAACTGGCCGCAGGGGAGGAGGTGGCCACGTGTCCCAGTTGTTCCCTCATCGTCAAGGTCATCTATGACCCTGAGGATTTTCAGCCGTCTGAGGAAACGGCATGTGAACGGACCAAGGGCAAAACCCTCGTCACTGCTTGAAGGTGGAAGTGAACTTTGACCTCATTGTCTTATCTGGTCACTTGATTTATGGGTTGATATAAAGAATTTTGACATTTTAAAAAGTTTTTGAATCCATTACTTTCACCTCAATGCAGTCGCTGAGATGAAAGCGATACATAAAAACTAGAAAGGGAACTTCTTATCAGCATCTGTATGCAAGTCCGTTTTTGGACGTATCGGTTATGGGGTAGTGGTAGATGTTAACCTTGCTTCAAATGTTAAGATTGCCTTTTTCCGGAGATTGACAAACCCAAGTTTTGAAAGCTTGAGACCAGTTTCTCCCACTTTTGGCTATAGTCATGTAAGGATGACTTAGGCTGGTTATGATGGAAGAAAAGTGAACGCTGCCTTTCAAAGTAGGAGCATGTCGTTTGTTTTATCATGAATTGTCATTGCTTCACCTAAGACACTGCTAGGGCTCTTCACTTGGTTTAATTTTTTTTTTAAATAACTGACAATCATCGTTAATGATAGCAATGATGCATAGCACTGATGGCGTTAGTCATTGATGAGTTCAATATCTTTTGATTGCTTGATGTGATCCTAATCCAGTATGACAATCTGCTCTCTCCAACAAGGATTCTTCCCCCTCGTTCTACTTCCAGATCCATGAAATGTTATTTTCATTGGTTATTGGTCAATATTTGCTTCGCCGAAAATAGCCAGGTCTCAGTCGTGGTTATGAGCCGATGTCCATATTCATCCCTCGCAAAAAATGTTTGACCATACAGAACAGGAGTGTCCCACTTTGATAGTAGGTCCACCGACTTTACGTCCTTGAGGTCTGGCGATCCGGAAGTAAAACTTCTTTGGCAAGAGCCTGACAATCACTATCTGACGAAGACGCGTCCTAGATATTGTAATCGGGAGCACAAGCCACGAAACCCTTTGACCGGAGAGGGGTAGGAAGTTGGAGCTCCTCAATCTCCCCCAGAACGCTTCCCTGTTACCAGGCTATTACTGCCACGGGGATGCCGGCAGAGGGGCAGGAAAACCTGATAAGAGGAAAAAAATGAACGAGAACCAGAGTGGGTCTGGGGTCCGGAGGATGGTCCGCGAGTTGAGCACCCCTGATAGAGGATTTGCAGACTATACAATCTAAGCCTTCATTATGTGATTGCATAGGAGCTCATAAATCTCTATGCATTTTTCTTTTAGTAAGTCATTTTGGCGACCTGTATGTGAAGGACTGATGTAATTAATGACAGAATTATTTTCGACCTGGAATGACACCGAGCATCAATCCTCTGGGCACTATTAAAAAAATATATATATCGTTCAGAGATTTTGAGGCTTTCCAGGTCTGACAACGCCTTTAGAACGATGCGTTTGAAGCACTTACCCCCCAAGGAGACCGAGAGTCTCATCTCGCCTCTCCCGATCTTCGGTCTCCCCCAGACGAGCTCATCGAGTCTAATCCATGCAGATTTATTCGCTCTGCCGCACAATGGTACGAAAGTCGGAAGTTCTTGGACAAAACTCATATTTTGAAAATGGAGGGGAAAAAATTATTTTGTCGGTAAAAGTTACGGATTGAAGTCCATGTCCGGCATCGCTACTTCTCCAGGTCTTCCTCTGGTCCTTTATTAGCCTTTATGTGGTGCAAAGGACAATGATTGGGACTTTTCTCAAAATATGGAAACTCGATGCGAAATTGGGACAAAAGTTTGTCATGTAATACAGCTGTTCTTGCCGCTGTTTTTCATCAAGTACGATCTGAAGATGTACCCGATTGATGAACTACTTCTAATGACAAGGTAAATTTACCGAGTCAATTTGAAATACTTCTCAAGATTTCTCAGGAAATTCCTTATATGCCAATGAGTATCTATTAATGAAAATTTTTCATATTGTTCATCTCGCAAATTCTTCAAAAAAAAGGCCAATGCCTTTACCCGAAAGGCCCTTTACAGCATCACGAGGCGGATGAACCAAGCTGACCTTGCTGCCTCAAGTGCCATTCCCGTTTCTCAAGCTCATCCAAGTCCACGACAAGAAAAGCCAAGTTTTTCATGAATCAGGGCAGTGCGAATTGTTGTGAAAAGTGCCGAGGATCTTGCAGAAAGACCGAGAGGTTTTCAGACAGCGATATCAATTGACTGGAATTGGTCTTTGAAAAATGTTCCTAAAATTGGGCGCAGCTGGGCGCAGGAGATTAGGGGCTCATTTTATTCTTCATTGATAGATACTCATTGGCCTATAAGGAATTTTCTGAGAAATCTTGAGAAATATTTCAAATTCACTCGATAAATTTACCTTGTCATTAGAAGTAGTTCATCAATCGACTACACAGGATCTAATAAATAACATGAGTTATGCAAATACATCAGGAGTAAAACTGCACATAAAATAAGGAAGACTCATCTTCAGGTACACCTTCAGATCGTACTTGATGAAAAAAAAAAACAGCGACACGAAGAGTCGTATTACACGACAAACTTTTGTCACAATTTGGCATCGAGTTTCCATGTTATAAGGAAAGTTCCAATCATTGAACTTTGCACCACGTAAAGGTTAATAAAGGACACGAGGAAGGCCTTTAGAGATGCCGGACAAGGACTTCAATCCGTAACTTTTAGCGACAAAATATTTTTTCTTCCTCCATTTTCAAAATATGAATTTTGTCCAAGAATTTCCGACTTTCGTACCACTGTCAGACGCCTGCCTCGTCTCCGTCCATCCGTCCCCACCGTTGCCACCCTGCGACGAACCTCGTGCCTTCTGCGCGTCTCGCTGGTCCGTCGGTTCATACGTTCCTATCCGCTCGGCGATGGGAAATCTGAGTACAGATACTCGAGAAAGAGGGGGATTGTTATGCAGAGGATCGGTGGTAATTCGTGTCGATTTAGACCGGATAGGTGCCTCAATGTCATTGGAAAAGGCGAAATCTGCAAGCGCGAATAAAAAAAAAAGCAATTTTATCAATTGCTCTCTAATGATCATCCGAGGGCGAGATAGAACAGACAATCAATTTTTCTGCATGCATCTGAAGCGAGGAACCAAGAAAAAAAAAAGATGAAATTGAATTTGAGAAGAGCTGGAGTCCGAGTTGGTACCACAACTAAAGACTCTTCAGGCCTGCCGAGGTAACGGTACATGGGAATAGCGTAATTTTCTTTTCGGTCAAACTAAAACTCTGCGAAAGTGACTCGTTCGCGAAATCGAATCTACAGGGTTTTATTTCCTGAAAGCCATGAAAAAAATAATCAATTTAAAAGGCAAAGAGTTTTCCCACAAATTTCATATCGAAATACTTGCTCGCTAATACTCTCAAAAGAGAGATTAGACGTGATTAATCGGTACCGAAACACTTTGGGTATATGTGTATTTTATACTGTGGATAAAATACATATGATTCAGGAATTATCCACTTTCCGTGGAGATTTCGCAGCTGCTGACTTCCACCTTTCTGCCCCGAGGGAACGATCGCCCATAGAGCACCATAAGAGACAGTTGTTCGGTGTTTCCACGTGGGACCAGAGACGAAACAGTAATGTACTGAATCTCGAGACTAATTTTCGAGATAAACTCAGATGAACTCGTCTCGTGTCTGTGAGGAATTAGGAATGAAATAATTACGGCTGGTTTAAATATGATGAGTCCGTATTTAAAAAAAAAAAGGGAAAGGAGTTAGTTTGAACAGACTGGAAGGCCCCTCCGATTATTTTCAGTTTATTTTTATTAATTTGCTTTCAATTTTATTGACAATTTATTTACTTTGTTTTATTTTATTTTATTTTAAATGTAATTTTAATTTTATATTACTTCCTCATTTATTTTATTTGCTTATTTATTATGTTTCGTTTATTTGCTTATTTTTTGTTGATTATATTAAATAGTTTTTATTATTGATTGATTCATTTATTTTTACTCATTTGATTATTTATTAAGTCGTTTGCTATCATTTATTTTCATTTACTTGGCATCTCGAGAGCACGTAGGACTGGGGGGGGGCGGGGCGGGGCGGGGCGGGGACCCGAATGATCCAAGGGCGATGATCGCTCTTGGATCACCGCTGCCTCTGTGTCTGACGCTGACGACCGAGAGGAATCCCGATTCGGTCCGACTCGTCAGTGCCTAAAACGAGAAGAAAATTTGGAAATATTAGGAGCGACCTGCCGCTTTTCTCTAACAAGGAAATTTTTGAAACACAAAAAAATCATCCCGCTGCCGGACACGCCCAACTGGCAAGTGATCTTTCCCTAGAGGATCAAGTGATCCTTCCCTAGAGGAGCAAGTGATCCTTCCCTAGAGGAGCAAGTGATCCTTCCCTAGAGGAGCAAGTCTTCATCCATTCGAAGAGAGCGACGATGTGGGCTGGCCTTCTCATTCCTTGATGGCTCGCCCGAAGATTATCGCAATTTCGGTTCGAGTGTTTTAGTTGAGTCCCTGGAATCAGGGCGTCGGAACTGTAAGGAAAACGTTCCGTTCCGGTATAACGTTATCGCTGGAATAAAGTTCCGTTCCGGACCGTTTTAACGTTGGAATGTATAATGTTCCGTTCCGTTATAACGTTTCATAACGTTATCAATAACGTTCCACAGCACACACCCAGCACGTCTCTACTACAATCTCCTTCATAAATTCCTAGACTTCATGGAGACTTTGAGCGAACCCAAATCGAATATTATGTGAAAAAGGGATTCACCTTGACGTTAGGGAATGGGCAATCCTCCGCCTGACAATCTGATGTAAATTTCTTGTGATTCTCATGCAAATGATATCACATTCATATAAAATTTGCATTCCTCTATTTTCATAACCAAAGTGGATGCGTATTTGATTTAAATTAGACATGAATTCACCTGATATAAAGCACATGATACCAAAAATATATACAAAATCAACACCACATCATCCGCACGAACTTTAGCTGACTCTCCCGCAATTACATTGCAGTACCAAGAGTCCTCGCTAGATGGAACCCTTGTTCCCTGCACCCTACAAATACAATTAATTGCCTGCTTTCCTGATATTTA